TTGTGGACATCTGCAATGCAGTTGTGAAGGACACAGTGTAGCATCACGCTTGGGTCAACCAGTGCGATCTGCATACATCGAAACCTCGTTAGCCCGAATCTCTCCCTGCTCCGGACACGGTTTGTAACGGACAGTTTGTGGACAGCTCGCTGTATTCACGGGGTCAGGCTCTGTGACTTGGCTGAGTGTGGATCATTGCACCCCGATGACCGGAATCTTTTTTTAAACTTTCCGTAACTGTTCCAGACTCGATTATTGATCCGCCGTGATGCAACTGCAATATAGTTTACTGCGGCGTTAAACAATATCCACTCACTAACAGTCGATGAAGTTACCATACACTTTCCACGTTAAAGTCGATATTGACCGCTCATTGGTCTAGTAGATAGAGCGTCTGTCCGGAGTTACTTGTACTTTTTGTTTCCCTGCCTGGTGCTCGGCATTAGCAGATAAACCAAGGCCTGGTCAGCTCGGGGTCAGTGCGCGGTGTCCGAGTGGGCATCCTTGTTCAACTGCCGCGTGGTATCTGGAGGGCTTGCACTATCAATACAAACAGGAGAAAATCCGGACGAGGACGCGAATTAAACCCCGTTTCAACCTCACCTCACAGTGTTTGGCTTGGCTTATGGTATCATCGTATGATGACGGTGCTCATTATATCAATCACTGGTTTGTATGGTTCAGACTCGATTTGTACACCCCACCGCTAGGATATTGCTGAGTGCAGCGTTGAACAACAAACAAAAGCAAACAAACAAACAAACAAACACATAAAAAATAATTTGGCCTACATAATTGTCAGCTAGCAAACAGAGAGTAGTACACACGTGAACGTGTACAATGACTGGATGACTCACTCCTGTTTTCCCCACTAAGCCTGAAATGCTAGCTTCTTAATTCATTGCTGTAGTATTTGTGTTAACTGTTCAATCAGAATTGGTTCAGCAACTATCTCCTGACAAATGGCGAGTTAACTCGGGGAACTCCGCGATCACGCTCGGGAACCAGTTTGTGAAACACGCCAACAATACCTGCTGCTGATATCAAATACATATCTAGGATCCTAGGACGATGTGAAGTAAACACATCAGTATATCAGTAGGGAAACACGCCAACAATACCTGCTGCTGATATTAAATACATATCTAGGATCCAAGGACGATATGAAGTAAACACATCAGTATATCAGTAGGGAAACACAGAAGTAAACACATCAGTATATCAATACCTGCTGCTGATAGTCAATACATATCTAGGATCCAAGGACGATATGAAGTAAACACATCAGTATATCAGTAGGGAAACACGCCAACAATACCTGCTGCTGATATTAAATACATATCTAGGATCCAAGGACGATATGAAGTAAACACATCAGTATATCAGTAGGGAAACACAGAAGTAAACACATCAGTATATCAATACCTGCTGCTGATAGTCAATACATATCTAGGATCCAAGGACGATATGAAGTAAACACATCAGTATATCAGTAGGGAAACACGCCAACAATACCTGCTGCTGATATTAAATACATATCTAGGATCCTAGGACGATATGAAGTAAACACATCAGTATATCAGTAGGGAAACACGCCAACAATACCTGCTGCTGATAGTCAATACATATCTAGGATCCAAGGACGATATGAAGTAAACACATCAGTATATCAGTAGGGAAACACGCCAACAATACCTGCTGCTGATAGTCAATACATATCTAGGATCCAAGGACGATATGAAGTAAACACATCAGTATATCAGTAGGGAAACACAGAAGTAAACACATCAGTATATCAATACCTGCTGCTGATAGTCAATACATATCTAGGATCCAAGGACGATATGAAGTAAACACATCAGTATATCAGTAGGGAAACACGCCAACAATACCTGCTGCTGATATTAAATACATATCTAGGATCCTAGGACGATATGAAGTAAACACATCAGTATATCAGTAGGGAAACACGCCAACAATACCTGCTGCTGATAGTCAATACATATCTAGGATCCAAGGACGATATGAAGTAAACACATCAGTATATCAGTAGGGAAACACGCCAACAATACCTGCTGCTGATAGTCAATACATATCTAGGATCCAAGGACGATATGAAGTAAACACATCAGTATATCAGTAGGGAAACACGCCAACAATACCTGCTGCTGATAGTCAATACATATCTAGGATCCAAGGACGATATGAAGTAAACACATCAGTATATCAGTAGGGAAACACGCCAACAATACCTGCTGCTGATAGTCAATACATATCTAGGATCCAAGGACGATATGAAGTAAACACATCAGTATATCAGTAGGGAAACACGCCAACAATACCTGCTGCTGATAGTCAATACATATCTAGGATCCAAGGACGATATGAAGTAAACACATCAGTATATCAGTAGGGAAACACGCCAACAATACCTGCTGCTGATAGTCAATACATATCTAGGATCCAAGGACGATATGAAGTAAACACATCAGTATATCAGTAGGGAAACACGCCAACAATACCTGCTGCTGATATTAAATACATATCTAGGATCCAAGGACGATATGAAGTAAACACATCAGTATATTAGTAGGAAAACACAGAAGTAAACACAAACACTGTGTATTATTTTAATATTGCATATAGGTCACTTGTGGAAGATAACCATGGTGATGACACGATTTAATGACTTCAAAGATACGTCATGGCTGGGTACCACAACGCGCAGCTGATCCACACAGATCTCGCCCAGATCTCGCCCAGCCGTGACAAAGTAACAGTAAAGACGATCAGCTCCTTGTCACGTGCACACAGTTTGACAACCTTTACCTGTTGATGTGATGGTGCACTTTAGGCAGGCGCTGTGATGGTGCACTATAGGCAGGCGCTGTGATGGTGCACTATAGGGAGGCGCTGTGATGGTGCACTATAGGGAGGCGCTGTGATGGTGCACTATAGGCAGGCGCTGTGATGGTGCACTATAGGGAGGCGCTGTGATGGTGCACTATAGGGAGGCGCTGTGATGGTGCACTATAGGCAGGCGCTGTGATGGTGCACTATAGGGAGGCGCTGTGATGGTGCACTATAGGGAGGCGCTGTGATGGTGCACTATAGGGAGGCGCTGTGATGGTGCACTATAGGGAGGCGCTGTGATGGTGCACTATAGGGAGGCGCTGTGATGGTGCACTATAGGGAGGCGCTGTGATGGTGCACTATAGGCAGGCGCTGTGATGGTGCACTATAGGGAGGCGCTGTGATGGTGCACTATAGGGAGGCGCTGTGATGGTGCACTATAGGGAGGCGCTGTGATGGTGCACTATAGGGAGGCGCTGTGATGGTGCACTATAGGGAGGCGCTGTGATGGTGCACTATAGGGAGGCGCTGTGATGGTGCACTATAGGGAGGCGCTGTGATGGTGCACTATAGGCAGGCGCTGTGATGGTGCACTATAGGCAGGCGCTGTGATGGTGCACTATAGGGAGGCGCTGTGATGGTGCACTATAGGGAGGCGCTGTGATGGTGCACTATAGGCAGGCGCACAAATGACAGTTGTCAAGTATCCTTATTCCAACGTGGCCTCGACCCGTGAGGAGTCGGGGTAGAATAGATCTTCAGCAACCCATGCTTGCTGTAAAAGGCGACTAACGGGATCGGGTGGTCAGGCTCGCTGACTTGGTTGATGCATGTCACAGATCCCAATTGCGTGGATCGATGCTCATGATACCAAACCAAACCCAAAGCAACGTGGCCTCAATAGAAGACGTTTTACATGTTAATTCGTATCGTCATTTTTCCATGTTGGGACGTCACAAGGTATTAAAACGTCACAAAGTATTATGACGTCACAAAGTATTAAGACGCCACAAGGTAAACACTGCATTCAGCAGGTCAGTGATGTATTTAATCTCAAAATGTATTTAAGTTATTAGGATTAAACAGTATTGGGGAATTAAGAGAAACAGGCACGAGTGGATTTTGATTGTTGGTTTAAGTTGGTTCAGTTGTTGCTATTACATAACTGAAACCTTCAGCTGTAACAACCGACTTTGTGGCGACAACGTGAGCAGAGCGTCAGACAACTCCGCGTCAGTGGCTAAATTAGCAATTGAATAAAGCTTAATAACGGGGAGACTTACACTTATTATAACGTGAATAAAGAACACAAGTTTCCACAAGATGACCCCCCCCCCCCGACCTGTGACAGTACACTAGTCCAAGGCCACGGTTTCTGAGCAGAATACGTGAGTGGTAATGTGTGTGTGTGTGTTTGTGTGTGCGTGTATGTGTGTGTGTGCGTGCATGTGTGCGTGCCTGTGTATGTGTGCGTGTGTGTGTGCGTGCTTGCGTGCGTGCGTGCGTGCGCGCGTGCGTGTGTGTGTGTGTGTGTGTGTGTGTGTGTGTGTGTGTGTGTGTGTGTGTGTGTGTGTGTGTGTGTGTGTGTGTGTGTGTGTGCAGTCAGCGGAAACTATAGTAACATAGTTCTCCGGTAACTTTCCATGTGCGCTTTTATTTTATCAAACGTACCTGAAACTTTAGTTGTGTTTACCACTAAAACGCCTCTGTTGTATCTTTTGATCACGAACACAAATAGTAGATATAAAACGTCAACGCTTGAGAATAACCGGTTTTGATTATCTGACGAAATAGATCCCACTTGGCTTAAAAGACGAAAAAGCGGTGAATAATATACTAATTAATACCTAAAAAGCAACCCACTGGACTTGCAGATGTAAGCTACACCTTATTTACTCCATATTGTATCTCTGGTTGACCAGGTGTGGAACAACTGGCCGAGGGCCTTCAACGTCGCCCTCTATTGTGCCTCGTCCACACCCGCCGGCGACTATTATCGCCCTGTTTACTTACCGCTGGATTGTTTCAGATCAGTGGACTGTGATGCTTCATCAATAGGACAGAGTTAGGGGTCGTGTCTACATCCACCAGCGCATAAATAAATGACGGCGTCGCTGTCTCGGCTCAGTGACCTCAGCCTGGCTTGCGACCATTGACAGCTTTATAAGCCCGTGACTCGCTACCTGGTCTCAGAAGACTTGCCCCCTCTGCGTGTGAAGGAGGTGTGGGACCATTGCTCTCAATACGGTGTGCTTACTCTCTCACTAAACCATGGCGGACAGCTACAAGGAATTCGACAAATCTCCAATCGTGGACGATGCTGTATCTTTCCATGGGTATTCCTTCAAGAAGCGGGAGATCGCGTTAGGTGGAGTGGCACTGGTGGCACTGGTTGTCTGTGTCATCCTGGCAGCGTTGCTCGCGTCGGCGAAGTCGGGAGGGGGTGTGGGTGACCTGCCCGGGACTGCGTGTGGTCAGACAGGGGCGCAGACACAAGGGATGTGTCTGACTCCCACGTGCATGAAGAGTGCGGCGTATGCCCTGGAGAGTATGAACAGCACGATCGACCCATGCGATAACTTTTACCAATATGCGTGTGGCACCTGGGCCAGGAACAACCCTCTCAAGCCAGATGTGTCTCAACTGACGCCTTCTTGGAACATCTATTACAAAAATCAGGAAAAACTGCGACGACTGGTTGAAACTCCAACTAGCAGGACATCGAGCTGGGCTTCTGAGAAGAAGCTAAAGGACTTCTTCACGTCCTGCACTGACCACTACGGCAAGATGATCCTGCAAGGAAACCCCTTTCTTGACCAGGTCGTGGCCAAGGCCGGCGGCTGGTACGTCATCGGGACGTGGAACGAGAGCACGTACGACTTTGAAGACTCTCTGAGGAAAACTCACGTGGATTTCTGGACTAACGCTTTCTTCACCTTCTCTGTGAGGACAGACTGGCTGGATTGGAGGAAGATCGCGATTCAGGTACGTGACGCTTTCTCATTATCAGGAATGTTGACGTTTCGCAAAGTGCATTTCGAAAATTGACGTTGATAGTATTTCGCTATGTAGGGCTTTGCTCTCCGTAAACCGGAGAATCATGTTAACACTCTAACATTGATTGATCCACGCGCGAGTAGGGAGTGCATATCTATATCAATAATGATAATAATTAGCATTATAGTTCAATCTTAGTAACAACAAATCAACATTTATTGTGCATTCAATTATACGTTTTTACTGAGAGACTTTTGACTATGGCAGGCTATTCGATCTGAGAATGCTCAGTAATGATGTGCAGTATATGCCACCATTAGTTCCTCATGCCGTGACATTTATCTAGATCAGGTACGCATGTATCTGTGAGAATCTGTCTGTTTAGAGCAGGTCATTTCTTGTTGATCCATGAAGGCCTAAAAAACAGGATCGAGACTTGACATACATATTTCGATAAAGCCGTTTAACTGGTTGTCAATCAGCAGCGTGAGACACGCCCCTTTTGGTCACGTGAACTGCTTTCATAACACCGACCCCCACCGTCACAAACACTAGCATATCCCTTCACACCAGACAGTGTATTTAGTCTAATGTCCTTGGTGTCAGTCTGTCCCTGTCTTCATTCAAGCTCACCCGTGAAGATCCGGAGTCTTCAAAAACCCATGCTTGCTGTAAAAGGCGACTATGCTTGTCGTAAGAGACGACTAACGGGATCGGGTGGTCAGGCTCGCTGACTTGGTTTATGCTTGTCATCGTATCCCAATTGCGTGGATCGATGCTCATGACATCAATCACTGGATTGTCAGGTCCAGACTCGATTATTTACAGACCGCCGTCATATAGCTGGAATATTGCTGAGTGGGGCGTTAAAAAACTAACAAACAAATAATACAAGTTCCTCACACTGGCGTAAGGGATACCTCACTGCTTGTAAGACTACCAGAACGAGATAAGCATACACCGTGGAGAGTATCGCATGTACTGGGGAAAACATGTCAGTCAATCACATAGGCTGTATAAATAAAGGTGCATGTGTGTAGAAGGCTTATTGTGACACACAGTGTTCAGGTAAATACAAAACTGTAAACATTACGTGAGCAAATAAATAGTATCAGTGATATATCCAAGTATGGTTCCCTCAAACGCGACTGTTCCAATGTATTGCTATTTCGACAATAGCTTCATAGTGCAACGTATGAACGAAATGAAAGTACTATGAAACCACGAACTTTCTTTACCCGATGTGTCGCTTGAGACGATATGGCTTTACAGTCAAGACAGAGCCATGGTCCTAAGTCGCTAGTCCCGTTGTCTCCACTTGAGGGGAACTCGATACATGACGATGTTCACGGGACTTCGAGTTAACGATGTTTCAGTTCAATACTTGGGTTAATTCGAACGTCCCCTATCGCAGGTAGAGTAAGTAAGTTTAACACTTCATCAATTCTTCAGCTGTTCGCAAGAGATCGCAGGTAAAAGGGGGAAATATGAATATGGGTGATAGAAGAGTTCAATAAATCTACCAGAAGAATTCCCAGAGTTAAAGGGTGAATCCAAGATCTACCAGGAACGTCGGTCTTGTCTCAGACTTAACAGGCGCGTGCAAAAGGGTCTTCGTTTGAAGTTTGATATTTGACAAATGTTTGAAGTCCCCCGTCTGTGAGCGAGGGCGCTGTCAGTGGTCGGCTGGCTAGCGGGACAGAGTATGTACGTGTGTATGTTCTATGTGGGGAGATCGGCGCGATTACCAGCCCCACAGCTAATGGGGTTAAACACGGGATGCAAACACTGTTTTTGTCTGCCACGTATCTCAAATGACACAACTAAAAATTAAATCACACTTTAAATACGTAAACCAGTGAAAAAAATAAACGTTTTTGCGAACCATAATTCTCGTAACGTTGCATGAGTATCCAAACTGTAAAATCAGCAGAACGCTTCTTAGGAACTAATTGATGATGTTGTTGAGATGTTTTGGAGTAAATATATAACGTCACTTCCAGAGAATAACCAGTCTCGATTATCCGACGGCACAGATTCCACTGGGCGTAAACGGCAAAATAACGGTGAAAGGTATAAGTGGGATAACAGAAAGTCAGTGATGACACCAGGTGTTCGCGGTGACGGTGAGCAAGTAAACATCGACATACAGTCATCATCTTGTTTATAACCCGAGACATAAGTGAATGGTATAAAGCGATAACCTAGATCGTTAGTTGAACACATGACATCACTTCTGAACGGCGAGAAAGATACTTGTGAAATCCCTTCATTTCCCCGCAACACGACGGCGTGATAACCGTGCGTTGTTGCGGCACATAGGACATGTCATGCTGTACCAAGATGCGGTATGTCTCCTACGATGTTGGCCTGTGAAGATCCGGGTAGAATAGGTCTTCAGCAACCCATGCTTGCTGTAAACGGTGACTATGCTTGTCGTAAGAGGCGACTGACGGGATCGGGTGGTCAGGCTCGCTGACTTGGTTGATGCATGTCATCGATCCCAATTGCGTGGAACGATGCTCACGATATCAGTCACTGGATTGTCTGGTCCAGACTCTATTATTTACAGAGCGCCATCATATAACTGCAATATTATGAAATCCCGCGAGAACACAACGTAACCACTGGCGAACAAAACTAAACGTAACGGTTGTTCACATCAAAGCAGAGATCTAACGGTTCTTGCAACAAACGCAATAAAAACGCTCCGTGTGATGAGCAAGTAAACATGTTTGCCCTTGCCTTATCTTACCGATGTCAGGTCTGTGACTAGCGTGAAACATCTACCACTACGTCAACATTGAGACTTGTAGACGTCAGACACCACGTAAATGTGATCGTCCGTAAGATGATTGTGGATACACTGATATACACGTGAACAGACTGTAACATCCTTAAACCAACGACAACACACATGAACACATGACAACACACATGAACACATGACAACACACATGGACACATGACAACACACATGAACACATGACAACACACATGAACACATGACAACACAAAGTTACTCAAGTGAGCAATGAACAAACAACAAACAAACAACAAACAAACAAGTTTTGAGCACGAGTTTTTGCAGGATTCACTCCCAATTCGCCTATAACTCATTCTGCCTTCAGTCAAATATAACGAAAATACCCGAGCATACGCTACCTGAGGGACTGGCCTCAACGCTGTGGCCCCGTCTTAGATACATGGTGTAGTCGACATTGTTGTCGAGATACAGAACTGGTAGCAGGGGAGGATGAACACATGTACACACGCAGCATCCGGTGTCATCCCTGAGTGTCAGTCGTCCACATAGTTGTTACAGCTCTTTGGCTCTTTAGGCCAAATGGAATCTGTTTCGGCGGATAACGAAGAATGCTATTCTCTTGCATTGATGTTTTATACTTACCAATTTGTAATGAGTAACAATAACAAGAGTTCAAGGCTCAAGGTTGGTGGATGGTGAAAATTACCTAGCTATCTTAATGCTGACATTACTGTATTACAGCCCCACATATCCATGTTGAAAGTTAACGTTTGACAGTAGATTGATAGTCCAGTGTATTGTTAGCAAACCATAGCGGGGAAGCCATTCATGTGTTTATTAATCAAGTGAGGCATTGTCTATAAACATATTACAATTTAAAAAAAATATAACTTCCAGAATAAACAGAGTATGGTGTTGCGCCACTTTTAGCAATATTCCAGCAATATCACGGCGGGGGACACCAGAAATGGGCTTCACACATTGTACCCATGTGGGGAATCGAACCCGGGTCTTCGGCGTGACGAGCGAACGCTTCAACCACTAGGCTACCTCATCATCCCATGTGTAACATGTGAACCCTATGTCACACATATACTTGTATACTTGCAAATGTGACACATATGTTGGATATGCCAGAGGGACAAAAATATTGATGGATAAAAATAACGCAAAACAATATTGCAGAAAAAGGTTACTGAGGATAAATGATATCATAAATTCACTGAGTCAAAACAATCCGTGTCTCTCATCCCAAGAAACTCAATGGCAAGCAAATGGCCCCCTTTCGGGCCGTTCCGTTATTTCTTTCCGTTAGTATGGCACATGTCAACCACTCTCAGCCGATTTTGCCGTCTGTAATTCCAAGATGCTTTACCAAGGAACAAACATGTTTTATAAAATTGAAAGTTAACACTTTGTTTATGAGATTCCCATATAAGCGATAGACACTATTTTCCTGTTTGCGTCACGTTTTGCCATAGCGCCCATTCGTCCGTAACAAAATAAGGCGTAGTATGGCATTCTGGGAACATTTTCCTATTTAAACAAAGTAGATGAATCGATGAACGTACATAAGCAAATATTGCCGGGGGCATTGACCGGGGTGTACACACAGGGTCAGGTTGTGTAAGTTAGGTGTAAATTGTCCGCCACTTAGGGGTCACATGCTGCCTGGGGGTCGGAGGTCATGGGGTCACGGGCCGGATCAAGGGTTACGGTAATTGTTAAGCATTACGGAGTCCGCCTTTAAGTCTTCTAAACACTCCAGTAGGATACCAATACAGACTGTTGAAAATGATCAGTCAGGCTTTCGGCCAAAACAGGTCTTATTGTTATTCCTGTAATGAAGCCGACCAACGTGTCATACCTGTAGGTTTTACCGAAACACTCTCGTGCATTGATAGCCCTTAGTTAGGTGTGGATGGCTCGGTCGCCTCAGGCGTTTAATTGGTTGTGTCGCCTAGTTGCGCCAGGATCCACTAGTTGTTGATTTGAAACCTACATTTGCCCTGATTATGATTCTTGGAGTTTTACCAAACTGATAAACGTCTGAGACCCGCATCAGTCTGGGTTTGTCTCCCCCGTGAAGCTGACGCGCCCTGATGTAACAGAAATACGTGGCACAGCGGCTTAGCCCCAAACTCCCTCACTTTGGTCCCTTTTTCCACATTTCAGCCGCTTTAAAGTGCTTGTCCACGTAAGTGTCAGTCACACATCTCCACTTGTACTTGAACAGTCGTCGACGATGTCGTTGTCCCCACTGTGGGCTATGCCAAGAGAGCCTAACAATGTCCCCCACTGTCCTTATTGCAGTACGGTGAACATATACCATTTACTGAAAACACATTATCACAAAACAAATATAATATAAAACATACACCTCGTGAAACCGTGATTAAAGAGTAATCTCCATAGCATACACAGTGAAATCTGTCGACACCGACCAATCCGGATTCCTGTCTATACCAGCCCATACTCCCACTACGGAATATACTCCACCAGTCACCGGATTTACATTCCGGTTACACACAAGTCCGGTTTAGATCTTCCTACAGTCTTGTCCGGAATGCGCGGGTTGTTTCCTGGAACGAGGTTTCACTGTATAGGACATTGTCCCCCCACCCCTAGTTCAGCATCTGACAAAGCAGCCCGGGTCTCACTTCAGGTTTTAGCTGGTATCAGTTGCGCATGTTATAAATCGTGAGAATTAGCTTCAGGACATACAATTTGATCTACAGTTCTATATATACCTATAGAAGATATCTTGATATAACGCTCCATACTTGCCGTGCCTCACGTCAAGCAATCTAGATTACTTGATAACAACGACTTCCAGATCAGTATTGATTGTATTGTTGATTGCAGCAGTTAAACCTCCTTGTAGCCTGCCGCTCTGCCCACCTTCTGCACGTCGGAATCTTCAAAAAAACCACGTACACACTCTTAGTCGTACCTTGTCGCGAACACCTGGTGCCATCACTGATTTCCAGTGTCCCATTCATATAATTGTTAACGCCTACTTGATGCTATTTCTGTTTCGGTGGAGAATATTCTAATGATGTCTCATATTTGAGTGATAGAACATGCCGATCACTGTAAGACCACGGTGATACAGCCGGTATTGGGGACTACGCCGCTAAACAACATTCACTCACACACAGAGACAATCAGTGTCGTATCACTGTCGGAATTTAGCAGATTTGAGACATTTGTACAGGAAGTCACACAAGGTAGACACACCGCTTGGAACAGCATATCAGTTACAGCACGGTGGGTGGGTGTGATGTGGGAGGAATGTCCGATCAGCACTTGGATCGAATCAACGAAAGAAAGGGGATCAGCGCATCCTGTCGCGACGAAGGGATGTAACTGTACATAGCGAATTGTGACGTCTTAGACCACGATCTTTGCCACACAATAATATGTTTTTTTCCAATCTAAAACACAGGGACAGTAAACATGTTAATAAAGTCGTTAAAACTATGATGTCCAGAATCCCCCAAATGTCCGGTACATAGGTGTTCACACCATCTAACCTACCCTGTGTAAACCTTTAGTTGAGGTGATATTACCGCACTTGGCGCCTTGTAGTCATGACAACCTTTGCCAGATATAAATGTGATTTATTAGACAGTATCCTGTAACCTGAAATGGCAAGGTGTAGATAACACACACACGCAATCCACGACAGCCATTGCCTCAAGTCTGAGTGGCGGTGACTATCACTTTCACACGAGTTGGTAATACTATCGCCAGGAGAGTCGATGCTATCTCAGCTATTGCCCTGGAGGCTTTCAAGCAGCTCCTGTAACGTCTCTCTGATGTCATGAGTTTCTTCTGATAATGACCTACCAGAGACCTTCCTCACGCATGGTACACAAGCATGCTAAGGCATGTCTTCACCTAGGCAGGCAGTGGTCGATACTCATCGGATTAATGATAACAGCGACAAAACCCTTTCCATAGTCCTGACCTATCTCTGCTGAAGGTGAAAGATATGCTTTTCGCGGTGTCATCACTGGTATTCCTGTGTTTCGCGAACACCCGGTGTCATCACTGGTATTCCTGTGTTTCGCGAACACCTGGTGTCAGTACGGGAGATGTAGTGTTTCGCGAACACCTGGTGTCAGTACGGGAGATGTAGTGATTAGCGAACACCTGGTGTCAGTACGGGAGATGTAGTGATTAGCGAACACCTGGTGTCAGTGCGGGAGATGTAGTGTTTCGCGAACACCTGGTGTCAGTACGGGAGATGTAGTGATTAGCGAACACCTGGTGTCAGTACGGGAGATGTAGTGTTTCGCGAACACCTGGTGTCAGTACGGGAGATGTAGTGATTAGCGAACACCTGGTGTCAGTACGGGAGATGTAGTGATTAGCGAACACCTGGTGTCAGTGTGGGAGATGTAGTGATTAGCGAACACCTGGTGTCAGTACGGGAGATGTAGTGATTAGCGAACACCTGGTGTCAGTACGGGAGATGTAGTGTTTCGCGAACACCTGGTGTCAGTACGGGAGATGTAGTGATTAGCGAACACCTGGTGTCAGTACGGGAGATGTAGTGATTAGCGAACACCACGTGTTATCACTGTCCCCCAATATTTCGCGAACACCCGGTGTTATCAGTAACAGTGTAGTGCTTCGTGTGTGGTGGAGTTTATTTTCTCAAATATGTCTTTATATATAAAATGGCAGGTGTTAGAAATGGCGTATTTATCACTGATACTGCTTCCATCATTCGCTTGCTACCTTCGGAGGTAAACTCAGTTTGGTGACTTGTAACTGAGGAAACCCATCAAGTTGTATTTCTTAACACAATTTCACGCAAACACCATGATACAGAAATGCAGTGACAGTTATATCAGCCTGTGTATTCTACAAGACATAGAGACCTACACAAGTCTACCTGCCTGTAACACACTGCAACACAACGTGCATGACGAGTCTACCACGCACTGGTACCCGCGCACTGACTACAAGTTCTCTACGACAGCCATTGCTGGTACACTGCTCGCGTCAGCACCTAGTGACTTAATGGTAGTATGTTATTAAATCTAGATTTGATGTCTCAGTGCGGTACATTCAACACTGACTAAGAGGCTGGAGCCACCCCGCGATGCTTCTTGTCGGAGTTGATGGGGTCACCACGTGTGTCGTATCACCCAGGGACAAGACGGGTAGCGCGGGTTCCAGTGTACGCGGACAAGGATGGCTGATTATTGTTGATCAACAGGTTACCTGTCACGACTCACTGCCCCCACTGAACAACACGCTGTTGTACACCTGTAAGGGTACATGGTGAACAAACAGATCCAACAGGCAGCCAGCGGTCAGATCAGAGCCGCCTCTTGCCCAAAAGAGAAAAGCTCGTTATGAAAAGGTGTATGGATTTGATGACGATACTTCTAAATTTTAATATTGGGCGTTCCCTGAAAATATTACTGATTATCCTAATAACCACATATCATAAGAAAAAACACACACACAACAACACAACAATATAGCAACACAACACAACAACACAACCCAACACAACCCAACAACTATATAACAACCCAACAACATGAACTCACAACATAACAACACAACAACAAACAACACAACAACACAACATTCGTTATAGTTTGATAAATACGATGTGATACGAATATAGACAACATATTGCCATGTTTCTGATGATTTTTCCGTTTGACGTTAATATTCGTAAAAACTAAATACTTTTGAATACATGTGCCTGAAATAGAAGAAATGTGTTAACAGTGTTGACGACATGTTCTAACGTGAGTGAGTGAGTGAGTGAGTGAGTGAGTGAGTAAATCGTGTTTAACAGTCAGACAAAACCTTGTCCATTGACAATAGAAGTCCATTGTGCGACTCCGACGTAAGCATTCGTTTAGAATGAAATAGTGATGACACCAGGTGTTCTTGAAAATGTGAGCGTCTCCTTTCCCGCCGCTGGCACCCGTCACAAACACATGCATAGGCAAGTCAAGTTTCCATCTGATATTCTCCGTCAGCCTGTACATATTCGATTCTTGACCATGAGCCATGATCCACGAGCTTCGATTCACGGGACACCATGTAACACCATGTCTGATGTCGGGTCCTATGACAAGAGCCTTATGACACCCTCACTGGGCATACGTTCTACCCTGGTGTCTTTTCTTGGTGGTGACATAGCGTCAGTCGATGTTCGATATATGTCATCATACAAGAAATGATAACGTAGATATCGCGTTTAGATGACAATTAACATTTGATGTTAACATGAAACTATTTTGTATATTTCAGATCGACCTCTCAGGGACGGGGATATCGTGGATCTACTATGTCCGGCCGGACGGTGCCCCGGTAAGCTTTTCCATACAGCCAGTATGCACCCAGTGGATCATAGTAATAATAATAATAATAGTAAATACGGATACTTTAACCTAAACAGTCCCGTCCAAATAGTGTTTACATATTGTCCCTACCGACGTCCCACCCAAGACAAGTACATCCAGAGATATGTGGTATGTTTACATATTGTCCCTACCGACGTCCCACCCCAGACAAGTACATCCAGAGATATGTGGTATGTTTACATATTGTCCCTACCAACTTCACACCCCAGACAAGTACATCCAGAGATATGTGGTATGTTTACATATTGTCCCTACCAACTTCACACCCCAGACAAGTACATCCAGAGATATGTGATATGTTTACATATTGTCCCTACCAACTTCACACCCCAGACAAGTACATCCAGAGATATGTGGTATGTTTACATATTGTCCCTACCGACGTCCCACCCTAGACAAGTACATCCAGAGATATGTGGTATGTTTACATATTGTCCCTACCAACTTCACACCCCAGACAAGTACATCCAGAGATATGTGGTATGTTTACATATTGTCCCTACCAACTTCACACCCCAGACAAGTACATCCAGAGATATGTGGTATGTTTACATATTGTCCCTACCAACTTCACACCCCAGACAAGTACATCCAGAGATATGTGGTATGTTTACATATTGTCCCTACCAACTTCACACCCCAGACAAGTACATCCAGAGATATGTGGTATGTTTACATATTGTCCCTACCAACTTCACACCCCAGACAAGTACATCCAGAGATATGTGATATGTTTACATATTGTCCCTACCAACTTCACACCCCAGACAAGTACATCCAGAGATATGTGGTATGTTTACATATTGTCCCTACCGACGTCCCACCCCAGACAAGTACATCCAGAGATATGTGATATGTTTACATATTGTCCCTACCAACTTCACACCCCAGACAAGTACATCCAGAGATATGTGGTATGTTTACATATTGTCCCTACCGACGTTCCACCCTAGACAAGTACATCCAGAGATATGTGATATGTTTACATATTGTCCCTACCGACGTCCCACCCCAGCTAAGTACATCCAGGGATATGTTTACCCGGATCTTTGTGAATCAGCGGAGCAGTGAGGTCATGACCTTCCCTTGTTGTGGAAGCTGAAGATGGAAGTCTTACCCCGGGCGTTCGTCTGTGACTGGGGACACTGAGATGGGGACTTCTCGGGTGGGTGTACACGCCAGTAAAGGGGTGGCGATGTACGGTGTTATTTCAATAACAACTTGATTTGTTTTGCCATTGGGATTTTTGTTATTTTCAAATGGTAGGTGGGATGACCTGAGACAGGATTGTGTGTCGAGGGATTTGGAGTGGACAGCGTGAGTCCCGTTATTAATTTTAGGCGTACACGTGATAACAAGAAGGTATAGGGGGGGGGGGGGGGGGGGGGGGAAGGGGTGTGTGTGTGTGTGTGCGTGTGTGTGTGTGTGTTAGTGGGGGGGGGGGGGGGTGAGTGAGGGGGGTGAGAGGGTGTAGAGTGTGTCGCACCCCATGATCGTAGAAAGAAATTCCTTTTTTTCAGAAGTTCCCTACTTACAATTGGAACATTCCTTTCACAGACTATCTGGTTCACAATGGATTGCACACTCGACTTTGTGAGAGAACAATTGGAGCGGACAACTATCGTGCAGATATATCATTTTAGCCAGATTCTGTTGCGTGTAGCGTCTGTTCCTTACACTCATGGCCGTGCCTGACAATGACAGAAGGGTCCTGTCGATGTGCAGGACCAAGCGATATGGCGGTCTATGGGTGGACAGCAGGGCGATTGTCTATTTATTACAAATTATGATAAAAGAACACATCTGGTATTATTTGTAGGATGGTAAAGTCACGCGATCCGAGACAATTGTCGCCATTTCTGAAATCGGCTTGTCCCTCCCCCTTGTCCGACAATGTTGATGTTAATTCCCAACACACTGCTTGGGGCCATTACATCCCGCAACAGGGTGGTCGAGCAGATCACCTGTTTATGTGTCATGGTCTTGAATGTATTGTGGGGAGACAATACACCTGCGCCCTATCCCGCCTTAAGACGCTGTCTACCCCAGCTCAGGTTCAGCGAGTTAGTGAGGGAGTTAGCTTTTACTAGATTGACATCTCACCTCACGCCCTGGGTGGAGGGTGTGTGGGTGTGTGTACGGCTAGTGTACTTACCTACTGAATCAAAAGGCAGTGCTGTTACTTAAGCCATTGAAAGCCACTGAAAGCAATGCTATGAAATGATGACGGGATGGTATTATGGTATGTGATGGTTTGATGATATAATGATATGATATGTGATAAAAAATATGATGATATGATGGTAGGTATGTATTCGCAAGGGGAAGATAACCGAAACAGGCTCCAAAAGGCTTCTGAAGCTAAAAACAAATTGATCAAATCGAAATGCTTACGTGCAATGTTAGTGTTATGGGGATTTGTGACATGATTTTTTGTTTTGTTTGTTGTTTAACGCCGCACTCAGCAATATTCCAGCTATATGACGGTGGTCTGTAAATAATCGCGTCTGGACCAGACAATCCAGTGACTGATACTAGGAGCATCGATCCACGCAATTGGGATACGATGACAAGCATCAACCAAGTCTCACCACCCGATCCCGTTAGTCGCCTGTTACGACGAGCACAGTCGCCTTTCAATATATCTACATGAGGACAGTTACTGTGGACTTATAGTGTAGAACATACACGGTCCTGCGCCACCGGCGTTACTATGGTAACACGGTTGCACCACATATGTAGGGTTCGACTGCAACCAAATAAATCATGAAAGACGCGGGGAATGTGTCACGTGATCTGTGATCATGTGAAACACTACCTGGAGACGACTACTTCCACCACACTACAGATGATCGATACATCCACGGTATACGTCGTCACGGTATACGTCGTCACAGAAGAGGTGTTGCAGTTATTATGTACAACAGTACATATGTCAATTGCAATCCCCGGTCGGCTGACTAACAGCGTGATGAATACTGGATGTCCCACAACCACAGGACAATGCTTACATGTGTGTCTGGAAATGAATGAAACCGCTCAGTCATTGCCTGACGCGACGAGCTGGTGTTAGCACGATCGCAACGACTGTGTGACACAGCTGTTTACCTGTTTACCTGTCCTGTTTCTGGACTCATTCAGGTGGAGACGGCTGAAGTTCTGCCAAATATATGACAGCGGTCGTTGACTGTCTGTCTAGCCATAGAGCTCTTTCAGATGAAGGCCTTGGATACTGTAGTTTTGAAATATAATGAAAAGTCAACATGTGATTGTCTACCCATAAGGTCCCTGATCAGATAGCTAGTCACATATGTCTTCCTATGAACTAAAGGTGGGGGTGAAGTGCATGCACATCTCTTGGTGTCGTGTGAGTTCATTGCCTTATTACATTCCGAAATAACTGAGTACACATGCACCTGGAGGCATCACTTACTGTATATACTGTATAGTTTTTAAAGTCGCATCCTTTTTTTAAATTAATTAAAAAAGCCAAAAAATAAAGCGACAGACTACTCTTGTTCTACAGACACCGAAATCTAATGACATGTTCATGTTCTTCCAGGAAATAGTCTTGTTCCATGTGGGGGAACATTCAGTGTTCTTGTACCATGTGGAGGAACATACAGTGTTCTTGTACCATGTGGAGGAACATTAAGTGTTCTTGAACCACGTGGAGGAACATACAGTGTTCTTGTACCATGTGGGGGAACATACAGTGTTCTTGTACCATGTGGAGGAACATACAGTGTTCTTGAACCATGTGGAGGAACATACAGTGTTCTTGTACCATGTGGAGGAACATTAAGTGTTCTTGAACCACGTGGAGGAACATACAGTGTTCTTGTACCATGTGGGGGAACATACAGTGTTCTTGTACCATGTGGGGGAACATACAGTGTTCTTGTACCATTTGGAGGAACATTAAGTGTTCTTGAACCATGCTGAGGAACATACAGTGTTCTTGTACCATGTGGGGGAACATACAGTGTTCTTGTATCATGTGGAGGAACATACAGTGTTCTTGTACCATGTGGAGGAACATACAGTGTTCTTGTACCATGTGGGGGAACATACAGTGTTCTTGTACCATGTGGGGGAACATACAGTGTTCTTGTACCATGTGGAGGAACATACAGTGTTCTTGTACCATGTGGAGGAAAATTCAGTCTTCTTGTACCATGTGGGGGAACATACAGTGTTCTTGTACCATGTGGGGGAACATACAGTGTTCTTGTACCATGTGGGGGAACATACAGTGTTCTTGTACCATTTGGAGGAACATTAAGTGTTCTTGAACCATGCTGAGGAACATACAGTGTTCTTGTACCATGTGGGGGAACATACGGTGTTCTTGTATCATGTGGAGGAACATACAGTGTTCTTGTACCATGTGGAGGAACATACAGTGTTCTTGTACCATGTGGGGGAACATACAGTGTTCTTGTACCATGTGGGGGAACATACAGTGTTCTTGTACCATGTGGAGGAACATACAGTGTTCTTGTACCATGTGGAGGAAAATTCAGTCTTCTTGTACCACGTGGAGGAACATACAGTGTTCTTGTACCATGTGGGGGAACATACAGTGTTCTTGTACCATGTGGAGGAACATTAAGTGTTCTTGAACCATGTGGAGGAACATACAGTGTTCTTGTACCATGTGGAGGAACATTAAGTGTTCTTGAACCACGTGGAGGAACATACAGTGTTCTTGTACCATGTGGGGGAACATACAGTGTTCTTGTACCATGTGGGGGAACATACAGTGTTCTTGTACCATTTGGAGGAACATTAAGTGTTCTTGAACCATGCTGAGGAACATACAGTGTTCTTGTACCATGTGGGGGAACATACAGTGTTCTTGTATCATGTGGAGGAACATACAGTGTTCTTGTACCATGTGGAGGAACATACAGTGTTCTTGTACCATGTGGGGGAACATACAGTGTTCTTGTACCATGTGGGGGAACATACAGTGTTCTTGTACCATGTGGAGGAACATACAGTGTTCTTGTACCATGTGGAGGAAAATTCAGTCTTCTTGTACCATGTGGGGGAACATACAGTGTTCTTGTACCATGTGGGGGAACATACAGTGTTCTTGTACCATGTGGGGGAACATACAGTGTTCTTGTACCATTTGGAGGAACATTAAGTGTTCTTGAACCATGCTGAGGAACATACAGTGTTCTTGTACCATGTGGGGGAACATACAGTGTTCTTGTATCATGTGGAGGAACATACAGTGTTCTTGTACCATGTGGAGGAACATACAGTGTTCTTGTACCATGTGGGGGAACATACAGTGTTCTTGTACCATGTGGGGGAACATACAGTGTTCTTGTACCATGTGGAGGAACATACAGTGTTCTTGTACCATGTGGAGGAAAATTCAGTCTTCTTGTACCATGTGGGGGAACATACAGTGTTCTTGTACCATGTGGGGGAACATACAGTGTTCTTGTACCATGTGGGGGAACATACAGTGTTCTTGTACCATGTGGGGGAACATACAGTGTTCTTGTATCATGTGGAGGAACATACAGTGTTCTTGTACCATGTTGAGAAACATTCAGTGTTCTTGTACCATGTTGGGCAACATACACTGTTCTTGTACCATGTGGAGGAGCATACAATGTTCTTGTACCATGTGGAGGAACATACAACGTTCTTGTACCATGTGGAGGAGAATACAATGTTCTTGTACCACGTGGGGGATCATACAGTGTTCTTGTACCACGTGGAGGAACATACAATGTTCTTGTACCATGTGGAGGAACATACAATGTTCTTGTACCATGTGGAGGAACATACAATGTTCTTGTACCAGCTGTCCTTGAGATATCGGTGGTGTCTGGCATGTGTCAGAATGAGATATATGTGACATGAAGATATTTACAAAAAGATAGATGAGGGTGTTTTGTATTAAAACTTTATTGTCCTCTCTAAATCTGGGGCAGCAGTTTCTTCATGGCCTAATTAGCAGTACTGCCAACACTTTTACATATGTAGCCCACCAGGGGAAAAGAGACCTCATGGGTGCTAGGATACAATTGTGAAATGACGTCATAAAGCAGGATTGTGTTGCAGTTTATCGTGGACTACAAGCGCTTCATGAGGACTGTCGCCGGGTACCTGGTCCGCGACTCCGGCGTCAGCATCAACGCAACCGAGAAACAACAACGTATTGATACCTTCGTCGACGACGTGTTTCTGGTGGAATCAACACTGGCAAATGTAAGTACACGGTGGAGGTGTGAGTGGTGAGGCCTGTCTAAAGCATGTACACGACTGGCCAATGAATGCAGTCAATGATAATGAAGTGTTCTGGCTTAACTACTTTCTTAACGTGCACTACTTTCTTATGTTGCACTACTTTCTTAACGTGCACTACTTTCCTAACGTGCACTACTTTCTTAACGTGCACTACTTTCTTAACGTGCACTACTTTCCTAACGTGCACTACTTTCTTATGTTGCACTACTTTCTTATGTTGCACTACTTTCCTAACGTGCACTACTTTCCTAACGTGCACTACTTTCTTAACGTGTGCTACTTTCTTAACGTGCACTACTTTCTTATGTTGCACTACTTTCTTATGTTGCACTACTTTCTTAACGTGTGCTACTTTCTTAACGTGTGCTACTTTCTTAACGTGTGCTACTTTCCTAACGTGCACTACTTTCTTAACGTGTGCTACTTTCCTAACGTGTGCTACTTTCCTAACGCGTACTACTTTCTTGACGATCAATGTGTTTGTGCACAAATGATAGCTAAGACTGAAAGACTGACGAGGCTGGTGCAGTTGGTGATGGTGAAAGTTAATGACTAATGACAGTGTCACGTCCTTCGTCTAGGGTCAGTGACATGTGCTCCGTCTAATTACAGTGTCACGTCCTTCATATTATGTCAGTGACACGTGCCCCGTTCGATGTCAGTGACACAACCCAGGGTTATTCAGGTTTTCCGCTGATTCATGGGTGGCATGGACAGAACAGACTGCTGTGCTTAAAACCCATTTGAATGACATTAAAATGTCAATGGGATTAGGTAAACGTTTAAACACTTATATGACCCTGAACACGATGTCCTGACTGCAGTGGGGCGTGTACCTGTGGTGTAGGCGTGAGTGAGTGAGTGAGTGAGTGAGTTAGTGAGTGGGCGAGGAAGTATAGTTTTACACCGTTTTTAGCAATATTCCAGCACTATTGCTGAAAACGGCGGGTGAGTGACCGCATCATCTGTTTTAGATCTATGCATAAAGATTCAGACTGACAAAATACTCTCTTTCCAATAGTCAACTTTCCCTTCACGTCGAGCAATATTCTTGCAGCTCCAACCCTTGGTGTCTACATCTCACAACTGTGGAGGTATAATCGGGTATTGCATTGCATTGCTCAGATTCAAAGCCTCAGTAAAAAATTCAAAAGGTTTTACGGTAGACATTTGGAGGACAAAATCAATGACAAAAATGATGTCCGATGCAATTCCATATTTTGACTTTTACCATATGTTTCCGTGTTTTTTTCAGGTGAACAATTGACTTGCATTTGCATGTGTTTGTGACGACTTGTCAGTGGTTTTAGATTCACAGCTAAATAGGTTATTCCTACATGAAAAAGGTTCCAGTATTGCGTGACAATGTGAAAAATTCTACATCTGCATATCAATGAGATATACAGTGCACATGCATTAAAAAAATATAAAATATATGTATATGGTTCATGGTTCAAAATTACTCTGTGCATGGTTTCAGATCACGAGCAGCTCGGACCCGTCTGAGGACCCACATGACCACCAGAACCGTGTGAAACTGCGAGATTTAAACACTATGACAAACACAGCGGTAAGAGTTGCGTCCCTTAGGCGTGCCGGAATGCTATGATCCTATTGGTAGATGTAAAACATTAAATCAGTATCTGCGAGATTTGAACACAATGACAAACACTGCGGTAACATGATAGCCTACTTCATGGTATCTAAAGTGCCACATTGCGCTGTACAGAGTTGCGTCCCTTAGGCGTGCCAGAATCTTATGATCCTTTTGGAAGATGCATACATTAAATCAGTATCTCTACTTTACGTTTTCTTTGGTACCATCATTTCTGTTACACATGGAACACAGATTATTCCTTTAATAATGTCCCGTAAATGTGATATCTCGTATGGGAGCGATTTATCTAGTGTTCCTCATCCATTCAGAGGACATTTTAGCGCCATTATTTATATTTTTAATATATTATTTACATTATGAGAATATTCCCGTGCTTTTTGTCAGCCTGTTCAAATTGTGTTTAGGGAAAATAAACATTGCACATAGTTTGAGTTTAAGAATCTTACACAGAACAACCAGAGACAGGAATACAGGGCCCACAGTCGATAAGGTGTTTAGGTTAGGTGGATGAAAACTGTCATTTCCCGTAACACATCATATGCAGGCTGCTCTGACAGACAAGGTAATGCATCATCTGACGTAAGACGGGAATAGGACCTCATTTCCATGTGTGATGTACAGGCTGACGGATCCCCCCGTCCGTGACTCAAAGAAACAGGACTGGAGAAATATCCCAGCTACTTCCGTGTGTGTGAACGAAACACCTCGTAGCTTGCGGAGGGCGACTTCAGTTGACAACATATTCATGTTCACGCCATGTTTCTGCGTATTAAAAATGTTTTTACACAAAAAAATCGGAAATGGTAAAAACGTTTCCCGCTGCTTGTTAATATATGTTCTGATGACAATAATGGATATGCACACGTCATTATTTGTTTTACCTGTCTCTAGTGATGTTTTTTTGCACCGGTAAGACGGTGGACGTGAGAAACACTCAATATACACACAGCTATACACCCAGCGGATTTCACTGCCTATGAATTATGAATATATATTTCCATTATCAATTATTTTAGTACGGTATGTTGTATATTTTCAATGCCGGCATGGCAACCAATGAAATGTGCATGTTGGATAGAAACAATATTTATAAATGTTTCTATTGTGAGTGAGTGGGCAAGTGAGTGAGTGAGTGAGTGAGTGAGTGAGTGGGTAAGTGATAGAGTGATAGAGTGATAGAGTGAGTGAGTGAGTGAGTGAGTGTGTGTGTGTGTGAGTGAGTGAGCGAGCGGGTGGGTGAGTTCAAATAGTGGGGGAGACTGAATGAGCGAGCGGGCGTATACTACTGTTAGAGAGTGGAAATGAGTCATGATGAGTTATAGAGAGAAGGCGAGATATAGAGAGAAGGCGAGATATAGAGAGAAGGCGAGTAATAGAGAGAAGGTGAGAAGGAGAGAGTGACGGAGAGCATAGAAGCGTGAACGTCTGTACACGTTCTTGTAAGTTTAACCATCTTATCACAAACCGATAAGAAACGGGCAGTACTGTGGAAAATATTTAATCTCTTGTACATGACCAAATCTGTATTTTCATGGAAATCAATGGCGAGCCCGTTATTCACACCGAATATTTTGCTAAGAAATCCTTAAAGGAGAAAACAACCTGTTACACTGATATTTGTATCACGTGACATGTTTGTCTCAATGTCGCGTGTTCCCGACAACTCATACGCATAATGACAGCTTCCCGTTACTGGTTCGTGTCCGTCTGGTGTCCGCTGACGCCCTCACTGCGCATGTCATGTTTCGAGGAACAACTCCGTATTGTGAAAACACATCCGGGACCTCACAGTATCACGGTGGCTGCTCGGACACTTCCGAAACTTGTATTGTCGAAAAGCTTTAAACCCGGCTACAACTCAGGCATAAATGTTAGTGGGCTGAGATTAATGGATCAAGGTTTTACACTACTGGGGATTTAATTAAGTTGACACGCGATTATATCCAAAGTTAATGTGTGTTTCAGCGGGCATGTTATTGCTTCCCACCTTGGTGCGATGTTGTTCAACTCGTCTTATCTACAACCAACACACGTTCAGATAATAAATATTTAATGCATTCTGGTGATTGTGCAGCCTTGCCCGAGGACGTGCCAAGGGGATATTTCTGTATTTGCTCAATCAAATTTAATGGCTATGTCTTTATTTTCAATGTAACACATTATGTACAACGTATAGTGACGTTAAACAAGGAAATGTATACAGTAACCATGGCAACCGTTTTATAAATGTCTCGTTATTTGGCTTACATTGTCTCACTTGCGTCACCTTTTCGGCATGTTGAAACTACCAGATATGAAATTCATTCGTAAATATGTAAAACTGTTAACGTCAAGGTAACAGGTCTTTGGTGGCTCCAAATGTGTGCAAGTCAGATTTTGTTCATTTGTTGTTTAACGCCGCACTTAGCAATATTCCAGCTATATGACGGCGGTCTGTGAATAATCGAGTCCAGAGCATAGATGGGCATAGTCCCACCCGATTGGGATACGATGACAACCAAGTCAGCGGGCCTGACCACCCGATCCCGTTAGTCGCCTTTTACGACCAGCATAGTCGCAACTTACGGCAAGCATGGGTTGCTGAAGACCTGTTCTAACCCGGGATCGTCACGGGTCGTGTCTGGCAGTAGTTGCCGCGGGTAGTGGGGTTGGCGCAGGTTAATGGACGTTAACGCATTACGCACATGAAGGCGGCCAGTCCCCACTCATGCCTTCATGTGGGCGGCGGGGTAGCCTAGTAGTTAAGGCGTTCTGTCGTCACGCCGAAGACCCAGGTTCGATACCCCACATGGGTAAAATGTGTGAAGCCCGCTTCTTGTTTTCCCCGCCGTGATATTGCTTGAATATTGCTAAAAGTGGCGTAACCATACTCACTCACTCACTTATGGCAGACTCACAGATGCCCACTGCTCGCTGACTATCGTTGATGTCATACTTTGGTTATGGTAATTCCTTGTCGCTCAAAGAACTGGTGGACGTGTGTAGCCACGTTTCCCTTTAATTGGTACATTCCTTGATTCACATTAAAAGCGCGAATGTTGTTCTCAGCACGTGCTCAGAAAGATGCGCTCTGGCCAGTGTGTCACGTGAATAGTCTAGAATCCAAAAACGATATATGAAACGTTTCTAAACGTGTTGTTTAAAATATATATTTTGTTAAACTTTTTTGGATGGTATCGTATGTTATTGTCGTAACTTGGTTTATATATTTCTTGTTATTGCGTACCCATATCAAATGTCTTGATTTAAACACTTTCACGGTAAGTTAAATTCAAGACCTTGGTCAATCTGAGGTTGTACCCAACCCTATGGACGGTGACTAGGCGCTTTAGGTAAAAGCATTACTTTGAAAGTTTAAAGAGACAGACAAATACCTACCAAGACATTCCATCCGTCACACGTCCCTTGTCATCATGCTTGTTTCTGCTTGTAAAGGTCATGGCCCCTTTTGGGTTCAGTGACCTATAGAGAGGTCAAGTGCACTGACACCTCTGAGCCTCTGACCGGAGGTCATGGGATATTTCAGGGATTATCTCCCTTGAGTTGTGTTTTCTGGAATGAAGACGAGAATGTGTGTTGTGATGTGATGATGCGAGGTATAGGCTAGAAGGTTGTGCAAACCTATCATTCGGGTCCACTCGGGTTATTCCGTTCCCTACCTAATGATTCACGCAGCAGAGACGCACTGAGAGTGTTCCGCACACTGACCGACCCCTCCGCATAGAGTGCGTACAATATGACGGTCGAGAAACATTGTTAATATAATAGAAATAAAGTATACAGACTGGTATCCCGCAACATTTAGTATAATGGTCTTTCTTGCCGCAAGATTGTGTTGGGTAATGGGACAATCACGAGATGTGATAGGCACGTGACCAAACGAGGAAATATCATCACAGTTGAGTTGCACGTCCTTTGTAAAGGGGGGGGGGGGGGGGGGGGTCGTTTGTGTGTAATAATGATAAATTTGCAGAAAAGCAAAGTCTGTTTTTGACGACTTAAATACAACTATCCAGGACTGCCGTTTGACCCCAGCCAAGTTCCCCTTTATTCTGAAGCCCCTGTGTTATCACCACGTGTTATTTACTAGTTGGAGTGAGCATTGGCGGGAATAATGTATATTCCATCCTCGTTATTTCCCAGTCAGTTTTTAATGCAGTTTGTCACAAGAAATGGGGATGGGCTACACATAAAGGTGTATGTTTGTTGGTTGTTTAAAACTGCACTGAGCAGTTTTTAAAAATATGGCTAATAGTCGATTTTTGAGCAAAATATCCTGTGATTAATATTATGGTACGAGGGTACGTCTTCATTGTCTGTCCATTCGATGCATCACTCGAGGTCGACATCCAACGTTCTCCCACTCAGCGGTAATGATGAAGAAAATGAAGAGCCTCTATGACGCTGTGTTCCTCTGTTGCAGATCGACTGGGTGCAGTTCTTCACGTACATGTTCAGTGACGCCGGCGTCAACGCTGACACAAAAGTCGTGCTCCTCGAGTCCGACTACATCAAGAAGATGGCAGCGTTCATAACAAATCTCGGGGACAATAAATCGAGGTAAATGTAACTCATCTACACCCCCATTTATTGCCCAGCACTACACAAACCTAGCTTGCACACCTACTACCGTCCATTATTGCCAGAATCTGTTCCAGCCCTACACCCCTCCATTATTGCCCAGCACTACACAAACCCAGCTTGTACGACTACACCCTTCCATTATTGCCCAGCACTACACAAACCCAGCTTGTACGACTACAACCCTCCATTATTGACCAGCACTACACAAACCCAGCTTGTACGACTACACCTTTCCATTATTGCCCAGCACTACACAAACCCAGCTTGTACGACTACACCCTTCCATTATTGACCAGCACTACACAAACCCAGCTTGTACGACTACACCCTTCCATTATTGCCCAGCACTACACAAACCCAGCTTGTACGACTACAACCCTTCATTATTGACCAGCACTACACAAACCCAGCTTGTACGACTACACCCTTCCATTATTGACCAGCACTACACAAACCCAGCTTGTACGACTACACCCCTCCATTATTGACCAGCACTACAAAAACCCAGCTTGTACGACTACAACCCTCCATTATTGACCAGCACTACACAAACCCAGCTTGTACGACTACACCCTTTCATTATTGCCAGAATCTGTTCCAGCCCTACACCCGTCCATTATTGCCAGAATCTGTTCCAGCCCTACACCCGTCCATTATCGCCAGAATCTGTTCCAGCCCTACTCCCGTCCATTATTGCCAGAATCTGTTCCAGCCCTACACCCCTCCATTATTGCCAGAATCTGTTCCAGCCCTACACCCGTCCATTATCGCCAGAATCTGTTCCAGCCCTACACCCGTCCATTATTGCCAGAATCTGTTCCAGCCCTACTCCCGTCCATTATTGCCAGAATCTGTTCCAGCCCTACACCCGTCCTTTATTGCCAGAATCTGTTCCAGCCCTACTCCCGTCCATTATCGCCAGAATCTGTTCCAGCCCTACACCCGTCCTTTATTGCCAGAATCTGTTCCAGCTCTACTCCCGTCCATTATCGCCAGAATCTGTTCTGATTATATTTCTAGTTTTGTGAGCACCATATCCGTGCTCGTGTTTTTTCCACCAAAGTGGTCTTCTAACTTTCTCTCCACATCAACCGGGTAAGCCGTGAAACATTGTTCAATCACTCACCACATACCTCGCGGTGTTACAGGATATTAAACAACTACCTCGTCTGGCGTCTGGCCCACAAGTACGTGCAGGACCTGTCGTGGGACTACATCCACGCCAACAGGGAGTTCTACGTCGACATGACGGGCGAGGCCGAGTTCTTGGGGACGTGGCGTTACTGCATTGGCATCGTGGACAGGGACATGGGCGAGGCTATGAGCGCGCTGTTCGTCAAGGATCACTTCTCTGATGCCAACAAGGATAAGGTGAGCTAACAGCTGCGTATTTGCTGAGACATCAGTTCTTCTAATTATGGGGGCACGGGTGGCCCAGTCGTCTAAAGCGCCGCGAATCGTTGTGAAGAGTTGCGTCATTTAGGCACGCCAGAAACCTATGACTGTGGGTTCGACTCCCGGTTTGCCCTGACTATGTTTCTAGGTTTGTCAGCACCATACCCGTGCTCATGGGTTTCACCGAAGTGGTAAACGTCTGAGACCTGCATCACTTCGGGCTTTCCTCCCACATCAAGCTGACACACCATGATATAACTGGAATACTGTTAAAAGCGGCGTTAAACCCAACTCACTCACTCACTCTTCTGATAAGATAAGTTGTTCTTGAACCTCACTGTCCTTTCATGGTAACAAATGTTCACGGTCCTCGCTACCCTTCTGATATACTGTGTATAACGTACATGAAAACAACCTTATATAAGTGTTGACACATTTCTGTTCTCTGAATAAAAACGATCATATATAATTGTTCGTCGGATATATAACATATGTTCAAATTAAATGTCGTATGTTTTTAGTCGGCCGAGATCGTTAACTATTTGAGGACTGCGCTCGTAGACTCTCTGACGTCAAACCAGTGGATGGACGAAAACACACGCAACATTGCCAAGAAAAAGGTACTGGTCGGCTGGACAGGGGATCTGTGTCTGGGTGTCTGATTGTCTGTGTCTGGGTGTCTGTGTCTGGATGTCTGATTATCTGTGTCTGGGTGTCTGTGTCTGGATGTCTGATTGTCTGTATGTCTGTGTCTGTATGTCTGTGTCTGGATGTCTGATTGTCTGTGTCTGGGTGTCTGATTGTCTGTGTCTGGGTGTCTGTGTCTGGATGTCTGTGTCTGGGTGTCTGATTGTCTGTGTCTGGATGTCTGATTGTCTGTGTCTGGATGTCTGTGTCTGGGTGTCTGATTGTCCGTGTCTGGATGTCTGATTGTCTGTGTCTGGGTGTCTCTGTCTGTGTCTGAATGTCTGACTATCTGCGTCTGGGTGTCTCATTGTCTGTGTCTGGATGTCTGATTATACACAAGCACCACAAACACACACACGCACGCACGCGCGCACACACACACAGACAGACACACACACAAGCATGCACGCACGCACACACAGACACAGACACACACAGACAGACACACACACGCACACACACAGACAGACAGAGAGAGACACGCACGCACACACACACAGACAGAGACACACACACACACAGACAGACATACACACACACAGACAGACAGAGAGAGACACACACACACACGCACACACACAGAGACAGACAGACAGACAGACACACACACACACGAGCATGGTGTAAAGGGGCAAGATGGTGTGGGTAATATTCCAACGTCTTCTTCCAGATCACAGACTCGATCTACAAGATGGGGTACCCCGACTACATGATGTCGGACGACAAACTGGACCAGATGTACATGGCAGTAAGTGTTGGAGGCAGCCATTCAAGCAGTAGTGGGAATACGTACATGTACACAAACTGCCATTTGATTACCTCCTGTCACAACCTCTGGCAAAACCTGCTGACAGAACGCTGTCGGCACACACACATGGGCCGCATTGACTCTTGAATACTGGCGATATGCAATATGTTCTGACTTCAATAAATCTTGTCATTATATTCATGAGCTCTCGTTTCAAGACGTTGAAATTGAAAACCCACTGGGTACAGGTATGTCTCGTAACATTTGGAAACGTTCGTACACAGTATGTTACAAAGATAAGTGTTGAAACGTTCGTACACAGTATGTTATAAAGATAAGTGTTGAAACGTTCGTACACAGTATGTTACAAAGATAAGTGTTGAAACGTTCGTACACAGTATGTTATAAAGATAAGTGTTGAAACGTTCGTACACAGTATGTTACAAAGATAAGTGTTGAAACGTTCGTACACAGTATGTTACAAAGATAAGTGTTGAAACGTTCGTACACAGTATGTTACAAAGATAAGTGTTGAAACGTTCGTACACAGTATGTTACAAAGATAAGTGTTGAAACGTTCGTACACAGTATGTTACAAAGATAAGTGTTGAAACGTTCGTACACAGTATGTTACAAAGATAAGTGTTGAAACGTTCGTACACAGTATGTTACAAAGATAAGTGTTGAAACGTTCGTACACAGTATGTTACAAAGATAAGTGTTGAAACGTTCGTACACAGTATGTTACAAAGATAAGTGTTGAAACGTTCGTACACAGTATGTTTCAAAGATAAGTGCTCTTACTTACGTCCTACTTCGCAGTGCAGAGATGTCTTTTCAGCCGTGATCGCAGGTTGGAATTTCGGTTCGCCATGATTATGTTCATATGTTTGTCAGCATTATACCAGAGCTTTTCTTCAGACTTTTCGGGGCGGTCGGGAAGGCTAGTGGTTGAAGACCCGGGTTTGATTCCCGACATGGGTACAATGTGTGAAGCCAATTCCTGGTGTCCCCCGCCGTGATATTGCTGGAATATTGCTAAAAGCGGCGTAAAACCATACTCACTGACTCACTCACTTCAGGCTTTTCGCCGACATCGTGCTGCCACGCCGTGATCTGACTGAAACACTGTTAACTGCGGCGTGATACAACACTCACTCACTATGTTTAATACATGCGCCCAGCGTGCTAAGCGGCATGTGTCTGTTTTAGTTGAAGATAGACAGATACGACTACTTCGCAAACCGCATGAGCATGAACAAGTTCTACAAGATAGACTGGAACCGGCGTCTGAAGCACGGCACCGACACGACGGAGTGGACGTACAACACCTACTCCGTCATCGCGGAGTACTACAACCCGTGGAAAGAAATGATAGTTCCGGCCGGGCTTCTGCAGTGGCCGCTTTACGACCATAAGCTTCCGCATTACATGAATTTTGGTGCTTTGGGAACTATCCTAGGGCATAATCTTATTCACGCCGTGGACCAGACAGGTAAGGTTATATTACGATCGCGTTAGAAGTGTCCGACATTGATTTCCAGCAAAACGTGTCTTGTTAAATTATATCACACAAATTCGCATCACAAAATTGTTTAACAACCCCTGCAGATCTACTTGAATCCATCCCAGCAGAAATACGGTCCAAAATAGTTCTAATCATATAAATTTATTGATAAACGAAAATATCATAATAATGATGATGATATTGGCTATATCCCGTTACATATTGTTCAATGTTCTGTGTGTTCAACTAAGAAACGTGCCGTTGTTTCAGGGCTTACTGGGGTCAGAAGAACGTCAGACCGCAAATATACTTACCTGACTTTAACACCATATAACTCGTCCAGAACACACCAAACTTGTAGGGAGAATTTGTTTAAAGAAAAAAACTAATTAGAAAGGCTGTTGGTGCAAGTCTTTAAATGACATTTAGAAGTGATACAAATAAGGAAGAGAATTTATTGATGTCAACTTCTTCATTAGGAGGAACACAACGTTTCGGAGTATATAGTATTACTTATTCCTTCATCAGGTGAATGAATGCTATAAAGCAGAGAACATATATATTTTCTCGTAAGAACAACAAAAGTAATAAGATAACATAGGTGGAAACTTAACAAGGGAAGCCAACAGATGATTGGCGCTGATAGGTGATTAGCAATGGACAAATGGGAGCCAACAGTTAACAGTTAATTGGCGGTGATTAGTGGATGTTCCGATTTTAATCTAAAACAATGATATTATGTGCATCTAAAACATCACAACAGCGCGATATACAATTAAACCCATGGTCACAGTTTCTACGTTCGGTGAGTATGCATTGTTTAAATAAATTTAAAGTCGTTTGGTTCATAAATTTTGAACACATGATTTCTCTCCAGGCGCTCAGTACAAGATAGACGGCAGCCATTTTGGAGACTGGTGGACCAATAGCACGAAGAAATCCTACATCCGGGTTCGCCAATGTGTGATTGATGCTTACGCCAACAGGACCATGGGGCCGTTCACGTTGACAGTTGCAGCAACCGACCCCATCGCGGTATGTCAGAATATAGTATACCCCCGGTAATCCGGAATCCTTGATCTCTGGACGATTACTATTGGGATTATTTATATGAAGTATTAAACGTCAAGGTCATTGAAGAATCAGTCTAGATTATCTGTCGGAATATTCCATTGCGCGCAAAAAGGCAGAGTAGTGATGAGATTTATAAAAAAGGATAACGTATAATTAGTGATGCCACCAGGTGTTCTCTCGAAAATAGCAACTTACTCCTGGTCTGCCGGTAGAACATGCCGCACACAATTTGCAGACATGGAAGTGTTTGTTGCCTACCCAGCAGTGCCGCTCCCACGCGACGACAGCCTGTAAACAATCGAATCTGGACCAGACAATCCAATGATGGACCAGACAATCCAGTGATAGCGAGTGCGCGTTAACTGTTTGTGTTTAAACTTAAATCGATATCTCAACCCTGAAGTACAAGGAAAGGAAACACTAAGGAAATATTTTCGTTTTGCAAAACCGTTGGGAGAGGGCGGTGTGTTTGCGTGCGTGCGTGCGTGCGTGCGTGCGTGCGTGCGTGTGTATGTGAGTGTGTGTGTATGTGCGTGTGTGTGTATGTGCGTGTGTGTGTATGTGTGTATGTATATGTGTGTGTAGAAAGGGGGGAGGCGCTGGTTTGGGGACTCAGAGACTTCTCTTCAAAAGAGATATCCGCCCAGTTTAAGTAAATATAAAACTAACGCCACATTACCCCATTATCATGATTCGTTAATCCGGGGAGGATTTCACTTAGAACTGTACCCCCGCATTAACGGACTCCCTACTCAATGTCCTTGGTTTGTCAGCCCCAGACCCCTGGTCGTGGATTTCACCGCTGTAGCAAACGTGTAAACGAACACCGCTGTGAACTTTCCTCCCCAGCTGGGCTGACACTCCGTCACATAACTGAAGACGTAAATCTGTACCTACGTAATTAATGATTAATAGACCTGTGTTCGTATAGTGCAGATTGAGGTGATGTCCTTGTAATCTCCCTGTCTCCCCGTTCAGTTGCTTCATGACAGCGTGTGACGTCAGAGAGGACGCTGTAAATACAGATATAAAAGTTTATATAACTAATGTGTAAGAATAATGTGTCACTCTAACTGTCCTACCTACAGGGCATGACTGTTTATGGGCATGAATGCTAATTGATATATTAACATACACCAGAGCCTCAGCAGTTTCGTGTAGCGTCGCCCTGTACGTAACATGTAGCATCGCCCTGTAGTAACATGTAGTATTTCCCTGTACGTAACATGTAGCATTTCCCTGTACGTAACCGATTGCATTTCCCTGTACGTTACATGTAGCATTACCCTGTACGTAACATGTAGCATTTCCCTGTACGTAACCGATTGCATTTCCCTGTACGTAACATGTAGCATCGCCCTGTACGTGACATGTAGCATTTCCCTGTACGTAACATGTAGCATTTCCCTGTACGTTACATGTAGCATTTCCCTGTACGTAACATGTAGCATTTCCCTGTACGTTACATGTAGCATTTCCCTGTACGTAACATGTAGCATTACCCTGTACGTAACATGTAGCATTACCCTGTACGTAACATGTAGCATTTCCCTGTACGTAACATGTAGCATTACCCTGTACGTAACATGTAGCATTTCCCTGTACGTAACATGTAGCATTTCCCTGTACGTAACATGTAGCATTTCCCTGTACGTAACCGATTGCATTTCCCTGTACGTAACATGTAGCATCGCCCTGTACGTGACATGTAGCATTTCCCTGTACGTAACATGTAGCATTTCCCTGTACGTTACATGTAGCATTTCCCTGTACGTAACATGTAGCATTTCCCTGTACGTTACATGTAGCATTACCCTGTACGTAACATGTAGCATTACCCTGTACGTAACATGTAGCATTTCCCTGTACGTAACATGTAGCATTACCCTGTACGTAACATGTAGCATTTCCCTGTACGTAACATGTAGCATTTCCCTGTACGTAACATGTAGCATTTCCCTGTACGTAACCGATTGCATTTCCCTGTACGTAACATGTAGCATCGCCCTGTACGTGACATGTAGCATTTCCCTGTACGTAACATGTAGCATTTCCCTGTACGTTACATGTAGCATTTCCCTGTACGTAACATGTAGCATTTCCCTGTACGTTACATGTAGCATTACCCTGTACGTAACATGTAGCATTACCCTGTACGTAACATGTAGCATTACCCTGTACGTAACATGTAGCATTACCCTGTACGTAACATGTAGCATTTCCCTGTACGTAACATGTAGCATTTCCCTGTACGTAACATGTAGCATCGCCCTGTACGTAACATGTAGCATTTCACTGTACGTAACCGATTGCATTTCCCTGTACGTTACATGTAGCATTACCCTGTACGTAACATGTAGCATTTCCCTGTACGTTACATGTAGCATTACCCTGTACGTAACATGTAGCATTTCCATGTACGTTACATGTAGCATTTCCCTGTACGTAACATGTAGCATTTCCCTGTACGTTACATGTAGCATTACCCTGTACGTAACATGTAGCATTTCCCTGTACGTTACATGTAGCATTACCCTGTACGTAACATGTAGCATTACCCTGTACGTAACATGTAGCATTACCCTGTACGTAACATGTAGCATTTCCCTGTACGTAACATGTAGCATTTCCCTGTACGTAACATGTAGCATTTCACTGTACGTAACCGATTGCATTTCCCTGTACGTTACATGTAGCATTACCCTGTACGTAACATGTAGCATTTCCCTGTACGTAACATGTAGCATTTCCCTGTACGTAACATGTAGCATTTCCCTGTACGTTACATGTAGCATTACCCTGTACGTAACATGTAGCATTTCCCTGTACGTTACATGTAGCATTACCCTGTACGTAACATGTAGCATTTCCATGTACGTTACATGTAGCATTTCCCTGTACGTAACATGTAGCATTTCCCTGTACGTAACATATAGCATCGCCCAGTACGTGACATGTAGCATCGCCCTGTACGTGACATGTAGCATTTCCCTGTACGTGACATGTAGCATTTCACTGTACGTAACCGATTGCATTTGCCTGTACGTAACATGTACGTCATAAATCTGGGATTCGAACCTAAGGTGAGAGAAAGAAGTGTAATATACTGTGAAAGTAAAGGAGAAATACTGCAGCCCTCGGCCACGTGTCCAACCAACAGCTGTAGGTGGGATACCTCAGTGGCGATAAACATCGCCGGAATGGTGTTGACGGAGCAGGCAATAAATTCCTGCAGATGAGGTACAAGGCCTGTGTGAACACACTTTTGATAAGCCCCATGACAGCTGCCCCCCCCCCCCCCCCCCTATACCCCACGCCAGGCAACTACTAGTATATTGTCTACTCCATCACAAACCCACAAAGGATCCAACAACGATAACAACAATAAGAACTTGACGGACGATCAGTAACCGTTATTTTATGAACATAGTTAATATATTTTTTTATAAAGTTGAATATCAGTAACACCTATATATAGTCGACCATCAGTTAACGAGGTTGCCGTGTTTAAACTATTCGGTATTTTTATGTGTTTCCCCAATCTACACACAACACTTACTTCAAATACCATGCCTGACATAGATAGTTCGTGAAGACATCGCTTGTATTATGTTTCCGACATGGTCACGGCTATTGCTGCTTCTTCATCCGATAACAAATACCGGTCTGCCCTCACGTGACCAGAACATCGAGATGCCATGAACAGACGCAGAAATGTAATGAAGAAATTGGCATTGATCTGTCATCGCTATTGAGTTATTCGCGCGTGCTGTATTGTGATTAAAATGAGCCTGGGCAGATCACACATTGAGAACTACCAAGACATTCATCTCCATGCCTTCCCGTTTCACCATCGTTTAAAACCTTTCAAGGTCGGGTTTGGTGTTTTGTTAACGACAGGTGTTAAGAAACATGATATCACCGTTGACCGTACATGCCGCGAGGTGGGCTCTGATACCAGGTCGTCCTCTCGCTGTGACCAACGCCACCTCAGCGTGGGGAATCCACGAAGGATACATTCCTTTCATTCTGTATTCAAATATATTCTCGCGACATCCAGGTATGATATGGGGACTTCACCTGTCAGAGTGGAGCATGATTTATTCACCTGCACGTTGAAGAATAAACCGTCACTCTCCACCCATACTCGACATGCTCTTACACGAACCAGGTGTAACGAACCCGCTCTGCAGGTTAATGAAAACTCAGTAACCACTAGATACAAGAATACTTACCTGTTTATATCATTTATAACACACACACACACACACACACACACACACACACAAATGTTTATCGTCGTGTGCAGTAACAAGCGTTGGCCAAAGTATGTTAGGGATTATACTATTATTTCGTTCGTTACGCAACAATTATTGTCTATATTTCCTTGGGGGACATGCGGCATAGAACGCTTTACACATGCTTGCATTAGAGCCGTTGTCTTATTTAGTTACATGAGTATATAACCTCCTGCTGAAGGTATGGGCCACTTGCTAACGTCATCTCCGCTATGTCGCAGGCTGCTTGCTTTGAACATCATAGACTTATTTTACGATGACGTTTAATCAGTGATGTTTCTGTGTAAACTACATATGCTTTTATCTGCTGCAGGTGCCCGTTGACGCCCCAGGGTACGCCCCCGAGGCCCTTGCTGAGACAAGCGGCGTCAGACTGGCGTACAAGGTAAGACCTGGTTTAATGCCATTTCGTGTTTAATAAATGAACTTTTTCTTTAAAAAAACGGCCGTAATTGTTTTAAACAGTACCAGGGATACTGCAATTTTGTGAATGTTATAATTTGTTGCATTCATATGCCACACTGACATGTGACGTGTTCACCTTCCAGGCTTTCAAGGCATGGGAGAAGGCTAACAAGGTGGAGAGAACGGCACCAGGCGCAGCCAGGAGTAACGACCAGATGTTCTTTGTAGCATACGCACAGGTAGGTGTCCCCAACATACAGAGAGGTGTCCCCAACATACAGGGGGATGTCCCCAACATACAGGTAGGTGTCCCCAGCATACAGAGAGATGTCCCCAGCATACAGGGAGGTGTCCCCAACATACAGAGAGATGTCCCCAACATACAGGGAGGTGTCCCCAACATACAGAGAGATGTCCCTAGCATACAGGGAGGTGTCCCCAACATACAGAGAGATGTCCCCAACATACAGGGGGGTGTCCCCAACACACAGGGAGGTGTCCCCAACATACAGAGAGGTGTCCCCAACATACAGGGAGGTGTCCCTAACATACAGGGAGGTGTCCCAACATACAGAGAGATGTCCCCAACATACAGGGGGGTGTCCCCAACATACAGGGAGGTTTCCGAAAATATACAGAGAGATGTCCCCAATATACAGGGAGGTTTCCCAAACATACAGGGAGGTGTCCCCAACATACAGAGAGGTGCCCCCAACTTACAGGGAGGTGTCCCTAACATACAGGGAGGTTTCCCAAACATACAGGGAGGTGTCCCTAACATACAGGGAGGTTTCCCAAACATACAGGGAGGTGTCCCCAACATACAGGGAGGTGTCCCCAACATACAGAGAGGTGTCCCCAACATACAGGGGGTGTCCCCAACATACAGGAAGGTGTCCCCAACATACAGGGAGGTGTCCCTAACATACAGGGAGGTGTCCCCAACATACAGGGAGGTGTCCCTAACATACAGGAAGGTGTCCCCAACATACAGAGAGGTGTCCCCAACATACAGGGGGTGTCCCCAACATACAGGGAGGTGTCCCCAACATACAGGGAGGTGTCCCCAACATACAGGGAGGTGTCCCCAACATAAAGGGAGGTGTCCCTAACATACAGGGAGTTTTCCCCAACATACAGGGAGGTGTCCCCAACATACAGGGAGGTGTCCCTAACATACAGGGAGGTGTTCCTAACATACAGAGAGGTGTCCCCAACACACAGGGAGGTGTCCCCAACATACAGAGAGGTGTCCCCAACATACAGGGAGGTGTCCCTAACATACAGGGAGGTGTCCCAACATACAGAGAGATGTCCCCAACATACAGGGGGGTGTCCCCAACATACAGGGAGGTTTCCGAAAATATACAGAGAGATGTCCCCAATATACAGGGAGGTTTCCCAAACATACAGGGAGGTGTCCCCAACATACAGAGAGGTGCCCCCAACTTACAGGGAGGTGTCCCTAACATACAGGGAGGTTTCCCAAACATACAGGGAGGTGTCCCTAACATACAGGGAGGTTTCCCAAACATACAGGGAGGTGTCCCCAACATACAGGGAGGTGTCCCCAACATACAGAGAGGTGTCCCCAACATACAGGGGGTGTCCCCAACATACAGGAAGGTGTCCCCAACATACAGGGAGGTGTCCCTAACATACAGGGAGGTGTCCCCAACATACAGGGAGGTGTCCCTAACATACAGGGAGGTGTCCCCAACATACAGAGAGGTGTCCCCAACATACAGGGGGTGTCCCCAACATACAGGGAGGTGTCCCCAACATACAGGGAGGTGTCCCCAACATACAGGGAGGTGTCCCCAACATAGAGGGAGGTGTCCCTAACATACAGGGAGTTTTCCCCAACATACAGGGAGGTGTCCCCAACATACAGGGAGGTGTCCCTAACATACAGGGAGGTGTCCCTAACATACAGAGAGGTGTCCCCAACATACAGGGAGGTGTCCCTAACATACAGAGAGGTGTCCCCAACATACAGGGAGGTGTCCCCAACAAACAGGGAGGTTTCCCCAACATACAGGGAGGTGTCCCCAACATACAGAGAGGTGTCCCCAACATACAGGGAGGTGTCCCCAACATACAGGGGGTTGTCCCTAACATACAGAGAGGTGTCCCCAACATACAGGGAGGTGTCCCCAACATACAGGGAGGTGTCCCCAACATACAGAGAGATGTCCCCAACATACAGGGAGGTGTCCCCAACATACAGGGAGGTGTCCCCAACATACAGGGAGGTGTCCCCAACATACAGGGAGGTGTCCCCAACATACAGGGAGGTGTCCCCAACATACAGGGAGGTGTCCCCAAGATACAGGGAGGTGTCCCCAACATACAGGGAGGTGTCACCAACATACAGGGAGGTGTCCCTAACATACAGGGAGGTGTCCCCAACATACAGGGGGGTGTCCCCAACATACAGGGGGTGTCCCCAACATACAGAGAGGTGTCCCTAACATACAGGAGGTGTCCCCAACATACAGAGAGGTGTCCCCAACATACAGGGAGGTGTCCCCAACATACAGGAGTGTCCCCAACATACAGGGAGGTGCCCCCAACATACAGGGAGGTGTCCCTAACATACAGGGAGGTTTCCCAAACATACAGGGAGGTGTCCCCAACATACAGGGAGGTGTCCCCAACATACAGAGAGGTGTCCCCAACATACAAGGGGTGTCCCCAACATACAGGAAGGTGTCCCCAACATACAGGGAGGTGTCCCTAACCTACAGGGAGGTGTCCCCAACATACAGGGAGGTGTCCCTAACATACAGGGAGGTGTCCCCAACATACAGAGAGGTGTCCCCAACATACAGGGGGTGTCCCCAACATACAGGGAGGTGTCCCCAACATACAGGGAGGTGTCCCTAACATACAGGGAGGTGTCCCTAACATAAAGGGAGGTGTCCCTAACATACAGGGAGTTTTCCCCAACATACAGGGAGGTGTCCCCAACATACAGGGAGGTGTCCCTAACATACAGAGAGGTGTCCCCAACATACAGGGAGGTGTCCCCAACATACAGGGAGGTTTCCCCAACATACAGGGAGGTGTCCCCAACATACAGAGAGGTGTCCCCAACATACAGGGAGGTGTCCCCAACATACAGGGAGGTGTCCCCAACATACAGAGAGGTGTCCCCAACATACAGGGAGGTGTCCCCAACATACAGGGAGGTGTCCCCAACATACAGAGAGATGTCTCCAACATACAGGGAGGTGTCCCCAATATACAGGGAGGTGTCCCCAACATACAGAGAGGTGTCCCCAACATACAGGGAGGTGTCCCCAACATACAGGGAGGTGTCCCCAACATACAGAGAGGTGTCCCCAACATACAGAGAGGTGTCCCCAACATAAAGGGAGGTGTCCCCAAGATACAGGGAGGTGTCCCCAACATACAGAGAGGTGTCCCCAACATACAGGGAGGTGTCCCCAACATACAGGGAGGTGTCACCAACATACAGGGAGGTGTCCCCAACATACAGGGGGTGTCCCCAACATACAGAGAGGTGTCCCCAACATACAGGGAGGTGTCCCTAACATACAGGGAGGTGTCCCCAACATACAGGGGGGTGTCCCCAACATACAGGGAGGTGTCCCCAACATACAGGGGGTGTCCCCAACATACAGAGAGGTGTCCCCAACATACAGGAGGTGTCCCCAACATACAGAGAGGTGTCCCCAACATACAGGGAGGTGTCCCCAACATACAGGAGGTGTCCCCAACATACAGGGAGGTGCCCCCAATATACAGGGAGGTGTCCCTAACATACAGGGGGTGTCCCTAACATACAGGGAGGTGTCCTCAACATACAGGGAGGTGTCCCCAACCTACAGAAAGGTGTCCCCAACAAAAAGGGAGGTGTCCCCAACATACAGGGGGGTGTCCCCAACATACAGAAAGGTGTCCCCAACATACAGGGAGGTGTCCCTAACATACAGGGGGTGTCCCTAACATACAGGGAGGTGTCCTCAACATACAGGGAGGTGTCCCCAACATACAGAGAGGTGTCCCCAACATACAGGAGGTGTCCCCAACATACAGAGAGGTGTCCCCAACATACAGGGAGGTGTCCCCAACATACAGGGAGGTGCCCCCAACATACAGGGAGGTGCCCCCAACATACAGGGAGGTGTACCCAACATACAGGGGGGTGTCCCAAACATACAGGGAGGTGTCCCCAACATACAGGGAGGTGTCCCCAACATACAGAGAGATGTCCCCAACATACAGAGAGGTGTCCCCAACACACAGGGAGGTGCCCCCAACATACAGGGGGTGTCCCAAACAAACAGGGAGGTGTCCCCAACATACAGGGAGGTGTCCCCAACATACAGGGAGGTGTCCCTAACATACAGAGAGGTGTCCCCAACATACAGGGAGGTGTCCCCAACATACAGGGAGGTTTCCCCAACATACAGGGAGGTGTCCCCAACATACAGAGAGGTGTCCCCAACATACAGGGAGGTGTCCCCAACATACAGGGAGGTGTCCCCAACATACAGAGAGGTGTCCCCAACATACAGGGAGGTGTCCCCAACATACAGGGAGGTGTCCCCAACATACAGAGAGATGTCTCCAACATACAGGGAGGTGTCCCCAATATACAGGGAGGTGTCCCCAACATACAGAGAGGTGTCCCCAACATACAGGGAGGTGTCCCCAACATACAGGGAGGTGTCCCCAACATACAGAGAGGTGTCCCCAACATACAGAGAGGTGTCCCCAACATAAAGGGAGGTGTCCCCAAGATACAGGGAGGTGTCCCCAACATACAGAGAGGTGTCCCCAACATACAGGGAGGTGTCCCCAACATACAGGGAGGTGTCACCAACATACAGGGAGGTGTCCCCAACATACAGGGGGTGTCCCCAACATACAGAGAGGTGTCCCCAACATACAGGGAGGTGTCCCTAACATACAGGGAGGTGTCCCCAACATACAGGGGGGTGTCCCCAACATACAGGGAGGTGTCCCCAACATACAGGGGGTGTCCCCAACATACAGAGAGGTGTCCCCAACATACAGGAGGTGTCCCCAACATACAGAGAGGTGTCCCCAACATACAGGGAGGTGTCCCCAACATACAGGAGGTGTCCCCAACATACAGGGAGGTGCCCCCAATATACAGGGAGGTGTCCCTAACATACAGGGGGTGTCCCTAACATACAGGGAGGTGTCCTCAACATACAGGGAGGTGTCCCCAACCTACAGAAAGGTGTCCCCAACAAAAAGGGAGGTGTCCCCAACATACAGGGGGGTGTCCCCAACATACAGAAAGGTGTCCCCAACATACAGGGAGGTGTCCCTAACATACAGGGGGTGTCCCTAACATACAGGGAGGTGTCCTCAACATACAGGGAGGTGTCCCCAACATACAGAGAGGTGTCCCCAACATACAGGAGGTGTCCCCAACATACAGAGAGGTGTCCCCAACATACAGGGAGGTGTCCCCAACATACAGGGAGGTGCCCCCAACATACAGGGAGGTGCCCCCAACATACAGGGAGGTGTACCCAACATACAGGGGGGTGTCCCAAACATACAGGGAGGTGTCCCCAACATACAGGGAGGTGTCCCCAACATACAGAGAGATGTCCCCAACATACAGAGAGGTGTCCCCAACACACAGGGAGGTGCCCCCAACATACAGGGGGTGTCCCAAACAAACAGGGAGGTGTCCCCAACATACAGGGAGGTGTCCCCAACATACAGGGAGGTGTCCCCAACATACAGGGAGGTGCCCCCAACATACAGGGGGTGTCCCAAACATACAGGGAGGTGTCCCCAACATACAGGGAGGTGTCCCCAACATACAGGGAGGTGTCCCCAACATACAGAGAGATGTCCCCAACATACAGGGAGGTGCCCCCAACATACAGGGGGTGTCCCAAACATACAGGGAGGTGTCCCCAACATACAGGGAGGTGTCCCTAACATACAGGGAGGTGTCCCCAACATACAGAGAGATGTCCCCAATATACAGGGAGGTGTCCCCAACATACAGGGGGTGTCCCCAACATACAGGGAGGTGTCCCCAACATACAGGGAGGTGTCCCCAACATACAGAGAGGTGTCCCCAACATACAGGGGGGTGTCCCCAACATACAGAGAGGTGTCCCCAACATACAGGGAGGTGTCCCCAACATACAGGGAGGTGTCCCCAACATACAGGGAGGTGTCCCCAACATACAGGGAGGTGTCCCCAACATACAGGGAGGATCTTCTTCCTCCATTCAGACCTTGTGCATGCGTACTCCAGTGTATATTAATGATGATACTGAACCCGTTAAACGTCATTCACTCACTTTGGGACAGTGGTCAGATAATTAAATAGTAACGTATCTTGCTAAATGTACTTGATTAATAACTTCACGGGGAAATAGATTGTTAGAAATAAAATGACCCGAAGACGTACCTGTTTATTGTTTCTAAGGGTATTTCAGGACTACTTCTTGTCCTTCAAAGGTGTAACCCTGAACCGTCGCTAACAAATTAGTACGTTTTCATCTGTGGAAAGTTCGTGTCTCAAGTTCCAGTTAAAGGCTCCAGGTCCTTGCATCCAAGTTTTGAAACATTGCAGAGTGCAATATCAGTATTAGCACGAAGCGCCCATTCAATCCCCAAATCTTGGAAACATGCTGACGACGATGCAACAGTGATATGTAATGGCCGTCAAAAACCTGCTCCTGTGATTCAACTTCAGTGTCAGATTCTTTATCTTGTAAACTATATTTGACCTGGATATACTTCTGTTTCAGTCTAATTGTTTCAACCGTAACCCGAATGAGGCGTTTTCCCAGGCAGCCCGTGGTATTCTGCAGGAGAGTCTCAAGTAAGTGCACCACGAAATCACATAAGTTCTAACATTAAAAGGATATTAAAAATGTTTTAAAAGAACACCACCTAAGAATGACAATATTTCTACCGTATATACAATAGCATGTCTCTGCTATATATGCTGACACTAAAGATCCTGTAGTGGGGGAGGGTTTCCTCCTAGTGATATAACAAGCCGGGATAGGCGTGGTGGGTGGTGGGTGGTGGGTGTGGTGTCTGTGTGTGTGTAGTGCGTGTGTGTGTGGTGGGTGTGGGTTGGTGTGTGTGTGTGGTGAGTAGGGGTGTGTGTGTGTGGGTTTGTGTGTGTTGAGTAGGGGTGTGTGTGTGTGGGTTTGTGTGTGTGTGTGGTGAGTAGGGGTGTGTGTGTGTGGGTTTGTGTGTGTGTGGGTGGTGAGTAGGGGTGTGTGTGTGTGGGTTTGTGTGTGTGGTAAGGGGTGGGTGTGTGTGGGTTTGTGTGTGTGTGTGTGTGTGGTGAGTAGGGGTGGGTGTGTGTGGGTTTGGGTGTGTGTGTGTTGTGTGTGTGTGGTGGGTTGGGTTGGGTTTGGGGTGCCGGCTCCATTCCACAACTTTTCCCCACCGAAATAATTTTCACAAACACAGTGGGTTTAATTTTGAAACTAGGAAGGGAATATTTGTTTAACCAGGTAACAAAGCTGTTATTTCAACTATGCATGTTTGTTTTCGTCTCCAGGGTTAACATGGCAGTTTCTCAAGTCCCAGAGTTCAGAGAGGCATTCAAATGTCCATCAAATTCAAAAATGGTTGCGAAGAAGACGTGTACTATGTACTAGCGGTCTCCAGAGGACGAGAGACGCAGTTACCTCCCCTCGGTTAAGGCTGTTTTCAGTTCGCTCCGTTTGTAAATAATTCATCCATAACATGGACCCGATTTCTCAGCGACTTTTTTGTCAAGGGAGACAACTCTGAAAGGGAGATGATTCTACGTCAAAGTAGAGGTGTTGTATTGGTGGGGTTTGATTATATAGTGTTGGTGCAAGAGAACGTGATTAAATGTAATTAATCACCATACACAAAATGCGTAACATATAGTGGTCCTTCCACATGAGAAATGTGGGTGTTCTGTCATGGTAAATGTGTGTTTGCTAATATGGTATTCTAGGGACTTTTTCTGAGTCTTGCGTTCTTGATGTTCCTGAAACTTACACAACTTAGTGCTGTCTTCATTGAGAGTCGCGATGAACAGTGACACCCCGTAAATCAGGAAACCTGTACAAAGCACATTACAGTGAACAGTTCACTGGGAGCCTGGGAACAGTATTCCAGATTGACGGGGTGTCACTGTATTTCATTGTGGACATGTCCATTCCGTTATGAAAACGAGTTGTTTTCAAGTTACATCCATGCTGAACTTTCCCCATCGACAAATCTTAAGGGTATGTGTGTAAACTAGGTTACTCCACCTCCCGTGAATACATGCGATGCTTTGTGGCTATAGCCGCTATGTTCACCAGAGAATCAAGCCAAGGGGACCGAATCGAGCGACGTCTCAAACCAATGAACGCACAGTTTACATCGGTATTATTCTCAACCAATTAACGCTCAGATTACATCGGTAATATTCCCAACTAATGAACGCTCAGATTACATCTGCAATATTCTCAACCAATGAAAGCACAGACTACATCGGTTATATTTCTCGTGCTACTCTGAAACAGTCGTGTGGCCTCTACTCTACTCATTGCTTAAATATCAGGCAACGGTAGGGTTCGCACAACGTCCCTGCACGGAGTAGAGCTCATTTTACTTCCGCGAGTTACAAACGGTCTTAATTCATTACCTGACTGAAAATAGATACCCCTCCCTAATATACCGCAAGCGGTCGTATACATGTATTCACGGTTTAGGGAGGAACGTAGTGTATGCACAGACCCGTGAAGTACTGACGATATTTCCCGTTTAATGTTTAGCGTGATGGTAATCGAGGTATGAATGTTCGAGCTAGACGCTTCCGGGAGGCCTGAAGATACAGTCCACACACCGCATATCCATGACTGTTTTCAACACCCGATAAGTCGAGGGAGGAGGAGGAGCGAAGAAGTGATATTCGTGTTATGTGTAGTAATGTTTCGTTGACACAATTGTAAATACATACATTTATTTAGTTTTTAATAGAACTATTCTTTTACACAACGGATACATTTTGGTAAGAGATTAACACTTAATCATTCCATTTTTATGGTTAATAGTATAACAATTCACAGCATAAAACATGCTACTGTCCATAAAAACGTTATAAACTCATTGACCACAATTGAGCATATTGCTAAGTGTACAGTGATGGACAAAGGTAGATTTTATTGTGACTTCTGTATTGATAATGCAAAAGAGAAATTCTCATATTTCCTTTTATGCGTTGTTTCCTTGGTAAGGGTCCAACAGCACCGTATACAGTTGCTAAGAGACGTGTTGCGTAGCAACTGGATACGTTGCGTTTGGATTCCATCTTGCCACGTGTGTACAAACTGCTGTCTGTGATGTAAGGGCGCTCTTACAAAGGTAAAAGTTCGCGTCTACGTCATGTCTTCCACATTTACAATAAAATCTTTTTATATGAAACAGATCTACGGTGTTTTTCTTTCTTGGATGCCGCATTTTCAGCTGTGTTAGTTTAATAATTACAGCAACACCCATGGCTGTACCACCTCCGCACGACGGGTCATGGTTGTCTTTGGGCCTGTGTCTAGTGGCGTCTAGACGGTCGTAGGGCCTGTGTCTAGCGGCGTCTAGACGGTCGTAGGGCCTGTGTCTAGTGGGGTCTAGGCGGTCGCAGGGCATGTGTCTAGTGGCGTCTAGACGGTCGCAGGGCATGTGTGTAGTGGCGTCTAGACGGTCGTAGGGCCTGTGTCTAGTGGGGTCTAGACGGTCGTAGGGCCTGTGTCTAGTGGCGTCTAGACGGTCGTAGGGCCTGTGTGTAGTGGCGTCTAGACGGTCGTAGGGCATATGTGTAGTGGCGTCTAGACGGTCGTAGGGCATATGTGTAGTGGCGTCTAGACGGTCGTAGGGCCTGTGTGTAGTGGGGTCTAGACGGTCGTAGGGCATGTGTGTAGTGGGGTCTAGACGGTCGTAGGGCCTGTGAGTAGTGGGGTCTAGACGGTCGTAGGGCCTGTGTGTAGTGTGGTCTAGACGGTCGTAGGGCATGTGTGTAGTTAGGTCTAGACGGTCGTAGGGCCTGTGTGTGGTGGGGTCTAGACGGTCGTAGGGCATGTGTGTGGTGGGGTCTAGACGGTGGTAGGGCATGTGTGTCGTGGGGTCTAGACGGTCGTAGGGCATGTGTGTAGTGGGGTCTAGACGGTCGTAGGTCCTGTGTGAAGTGGGGGTCTAGACGGTTGTAGGGCATGTGTGTAGTGGGGTCTAGACGGTCGTAGGACGTGTCTAGTGGGGTCTAGACGGTCGTAGGGCATGTGTGTAGTGGGGTCTAGACGGTCGTAGGGCATGTGTGTAGTGGGGTCTAGATGGTCGCAGGGCATGTGTGTAGTGGGGTCTAGATGGTCGTAGGGCATGTGTGTAGTTGGGTCTAGACGGTCGTAGGGCCTGTGTGTAATGTGGTCTAGACGGTCGTAGGGCCTGTGTGTAGTGGGGTCTAGACGGTCATGGGCCTGTGTGTTGTGGGGTCTAGATGGTCATAGGGCATGTGTGTAGTTGGTTCTAGACGGTCGTAGGGCATGTGTGTAGTGGGGTCTAGACGGTCGTAGGGCCTGTGTGTGGTGGGGTCTAGACGGTCGTGGGGCCTGTGTGTGGTGGGGTCTAGACGGTCGTAGGGCCTGTGTGTAGTGTGGTCTAGACGGTCGTAGGGCATGTGTGTAGTAAGGTCTAGACGGTCGTAGGGCCTGTGTGTGGTGGGGTCTAGACGGTTGTAGGGCCTGTGTGGGGTGGGGTCTAGACGGTCGTAGGGCATGTGTGTAGTGGCGTCTAGACGGTCGTAGGGTATGTGGGTAGGCGGGTCTAGACGGTCGTAGGGCCTGTGTGTAGTGGGGTCTAGACGGTCGTAGGGCATGTGTGTAGTGGGGTCTAGACGGTCGTAGAGCCTGTGTGTAGTGGGGTCTAGATGGTCGTAGGGCCTGTGTCTAGTGGGGTCTAGACGGTCGTAGGGCCTGTGTCTAGTGGGGTCTAGGCGGTCGCAGGGCATGTGTCTAGTGGCGTCTAGACGGTCGCAGGGCATGTGTGTAGTGGCGTCTAGACGGTCGTAGGGCCTGTGTCTAGTGGGGTCTAGACGGTCGTAGGGCCTGTGTCTAGTGGCGTCTAGACGGTCGTAGGGCCTGTGTGTAGTGGCGTCTAGACGGTCGTAGGGCATATGTGTATAGCGTCTAGACGGTCGTAGGGCATATGTGTAGTGGCGTCTAGACGGTCGTAGGGCATGTATGTAGGCGGGTCTAGACGGTCGTAGGGCCTGTGTGTAGTGGGGTCTAGACGGTCGTAGGGCATGTGTGTAGTGGGGTCTAGACGGTCGTAGGGCCTGTGAGTAGTGGGGTCTAGACGGTCGTAGGGCCTGTGTGTAGTGTGGTCTAGACGGTCGTAGGGCATGTGTGTAGTTAGGTCTAGACGGTCGTAGGGCCTGTGTGTGGTGGGGTCTAGACGGTCGTAGGGCATGTGTGTGGTGGGGTCTAGACGGTCGTAGGGCATGTGTGTAGTAAGGTCTAGACGGTCGTAGGGCATGTGTGTAGTAAGGTCTAGACGGTCGTAGGGCCTGTGTGTAGTGTGGTCTAGACGGTCGTAGGGCATGTGTGTAGTAAGGTCTAGACGGTCGTAGGGCCTGTGTGTGGTGGGGTCTAGACGGTCGTAGGGCATGTGTGTGGTGGGGTCTAGACGGTCGTAGGGCATGTGTGTAGTGGCGTCTAGACGGTCGTAGGGTATGTGGGTAGGCGTGTCTAGACGGTCGTAGGGCCTGTGTGTAGTGGGGTCTAGACGGTCGTAGGGCATGTGTGTAGTGGGGTCTAGACGGTCGTAGAGCCTGTGTGTAGTGGGGTCTAGATGGTCGTAGGGCCTGTGTCTAGTGGGGTCTAGACGGTCGTAGGGCCTGTGTGTAGTGGGGTCAAGACAGTCGTAGGGCCTGTGTGGAGTGGCGTCTAGACGGTCGTAGAGCCTGTGTGTAGTGGCGTCTAGACGGTCGTAGGGTATGTGTGTAGCTGGGTCTAGACGGTCGTAGGGCCTGTGTGTAGTGGGGTCTAGACGGTCGTAGTGCCTGTGTGTAGTGGGGTCTAGACGGTCGTAGGGCATGTGTGTAGTGGGGGTCTAGACGGTCGTAGGGCATGTGTGTAGTGGGGTCTAGATAGTCGCAGGGCGTGTGTAGTGGGGTCTAGATGGTCGTAGGGCATGTGTGTAGTTGGGTCTAGACGGTCATAGGGCATGTGTGTAGTTGGGTCTAGACGGTCGTAGGGCCTGTGTGTAGTGGGGTCTAGACGGTCGTAGGGCCTCTGTGTAGTGTGGTCTAGACGGTCGTAGGGCCTGTGTGTAGTGGGGAGTAGACGGTCGTAGGGCCTGTGTGTAGCTGGGTCTAGACGGTCGTAGGGCTTTTGTGTAGTGGGGTCTAGACGGTCGTAGGGCATGTGTGTAGTGGGGTCTAGACGGTCGTAGGGCCTGTGTGTAGTGGGGTCTAGACGGTCGTAGGGCATGTGTGTAGTGGGGGTCTAGACGGTCGTAGGGCATGTGTGTAGTGGGGTCTAGACGGTCGTAGGGCATGTGTGTAGTGGGGTCTAGATGGTCGCAGGGCATGTGTGTAGTGGGGTCTAGATGGTCGTAGGGCCTGTGTGTAGTTGGGTCCAGACGGTCATAGGGCATGTGTGTAGTTGGGTCTAGACGGTCGTAGGGCCTGTGTGTAGTGTGGTCTAGATGGTCGTAGGGCCTGTGTGTAGTGGGGTCTAGACGGTCGTAGGGCCTGTGTGTAGTTGGGTCTAGACGGTCGTAGGGCCTGTGTGTAGTGGGGTCTAGACGGTCGTAGGGCATGTGTGTAGTGGGGGTCTAGACGGTCGTAGGGCATGTGTGTAGTGGGGTCTAGACGGTCGTAGGGCATGTGTGTAGTGGGGTCTAGATGGTCGCAGGGCGTGTGTGTAGTGGGGTCTAGATGGTCGTAGGGCATGTGTGTAGTTGGGTCTAGACGGTCATAGGGCATGTGTGTAGTTGGGTCTAGACGGTCGTAGGGCCTGTGTGTAGTGTGGTGTAGACGGTCGTAGGGCCTGTGTGTAGTGGGGTCTAGAGGGTCGTAGGGCCTGTGTGTAGTTGGGTCTAGACCGTCGTAGGGCATGTGTGTAGTGGGGTCTAGACGGTCGTAGGGCCTGTGTGTGGTGGGGTCTAGACGGTCGTAGGGCATGTGTGTAGTGGGGTCTAGATGGTCGCAGGGCATGTGTGTAGTTGGGTCTAGACGGTCGTAGGGCATGTGTGTAGTTAGGTCTAGACAGTCGTAGGGCCTGTGTGTGGTGGGGTCTAGACGGTCGTAGGGCATGTGTGTAGTGGGGTCTAGACGGTCGTAGGGCATGTGTGTAGTGGGGTCTAGACGGTCTTAGGGCCTGTGTGAAGAGGGGGTCTAGACGGTTGTAGGGCATGTGTGTAGTGGGGTCTAGACGGTCGTAGGACGTGTCTAGACGGTCGCAGGGACTGTCTAGACGGTTGTAGGGCATGTGTCTAACGGCGTCTAGACAGTCGGAGGGACTGTGTCTAGTGGGGTCTAGACGTAAATACTACCATGTGAGGATGTTGTTATATTGAATTTAGTTCAACAAAAAAACAAAGCAGTGTTGAGTGAACTGGTCCGAACCAAACGCCCATTTGAGGGACGAACCTACCGGCATTAATTCACAATATAAATATAATACGTCGAGTATCTTGTACTGTATATCTTTGTAAAAATGTGAGAGTAAATGCCTGGGTTATCCATACACATAAATGTAAGGTTATCCATAAGTGTTGCTTATCTGAGGCAGTTACGCAAAAATTGAACTATACACCAATGTGTAACCACAATTTGTCAAATTTACCTTCACACAGGCATGGCTAACCCCTACACAGGCGTGGCTTACCTTTACACAGGCGTGGCTTACCTTTACACAGGGGTGGCTTACTTGTACACAGGCATGGTTTATCTTTACACAGGCATGGCTTACTTGTACACAGGCATGGCTTATCTATACACAGGCGTGGCTTACCTTTACACAGGCATGGCTTACTTGTACACAGGCATGGCTTATCTATACACAGGCGTGGCTTACCTTTACACAGGCATGGCTTACTTGTACACAGGCATGGCTTATCTATACACAGGTGTGGCTTACCTTTACACAGGCATGGCTTACTTGTACACAGGCATGGCTTACCTTTACACAGGCATGGCTTACCTTTACACAGGCATGGCTTACTTGTACACAGGCATGGCTTATCTTTACACAGACGTGGCTTGGTTTTGTTTGTTTGTTGTTTAACGCCGCACTCAGCAATATTCCAGTTATGTGACGGCGGTCTATTAATAATCGAGTCTGGACCAGACAATCCAATGATTTACATCATGAGCATCGATCCACAAATGCGTGGCTTACCTTTACACATGCATGGCTTACCTTTACACAGGCGTGGCTTACTTGTACACTGATCACCACAGCTGTCCTAGAAAACCGCAATTTGTCGAATGATGTCTTCAGCAATGACGTATTATCATATACTTCAGAGTGAAAGATTTCCGATGTTGAGAAAATAATATTTTCATTGCAGTGACGAGCCCGTATATTCGTGTATTCTTTCGCTTCCAACAGCGGTCTCCTACTTTTCAAGAATAATTTTTTGTTAAAGTTAATATTGTATATAATCATGTCTAAATGTATGATAAAGAATTTTCGTAACCCTAAATATTTTTGGATACTTTTGTTTATATATTTTAAGATTTTGCAAACACGAAACTATTTTTAAAGTATTTTAAGCAAATACAAGGGGTGGTGAACCGTCCCTGTCTGTTAGGTAGGGAGAATTTAGGTTTCAAGGTTTTACATTTGTAATGAAATTATTTAATTTTTTGGTAGATAACTACACAAAAAGTATGTAATAAATAGGATATTCCGTGTAACTCGATGAGAGAAACATGATATTTCACTTGACAAATGAAATATCCTCTAAATATCATACAGGTTTCCACCATACCTGCTCTCCGCATGGCATTGAATATGTCGGTGTCAGAGTGAGCATTTTCACATCGACACCTTAATATTTCAAGGCACCACTTACTATATTTCACATCACCCTTTGCCCTATCCCCTGAAAATGTTGACAACCGGGGACTTGGTGCATTGATTATTGGCATGTAGGAGGTGTGTGATATGGGCATGGTGGAATGTGATGCAGAGTTGCCAGGAACTGACTAGGCTGAGCAGTTGGAGTGCACCCAGGGTATAGAATGGGCATGGGTACATGTCTGTTGGGCCAAGCCTCAAATGGTGCCCCAGTCGGACATGGAATGACACGCGACTGCTGTGAGTAATTTGTTGATGAACCCTGGGGTTGGTTATAGTTGAAGAGTGGCCCATGGGACCTAGACAAAGATTCAGCAATTCTGTCCTAGGACTAGGGTCCTGTTGGGGTATTGTCCGCTGGGAAGGCTCCATGGGTGACCATATATCAGGCAACAAAGGAGACCCCAGAGGTGAATGTGCTAGCAGGTATGACAGCCCAGGTGTGTATGGAGGGGCAACAACCCTTTGGCTATCTACAGGAGGTGGAGGCACATGCGTATCTCAAACAATGTATCTCCTGACCCAACATCAGCTACATGGGTGATCTGAGGCGGGTGTGGATTAGCGGGAGACGGGAGAGTAAACTAGTACGGACTAAGGGATCAAGCTGATGGATGAAATCCACAACCTGATCAACCTGTGATCTAACATCACTGACTGACTGAGCCATGATGTGTACAATATACAAGTATGACAAACTTCCTAAAAGGCAACAAGGATCCTATAAGTTGGGATCCAACAACAATATTATGAACCGAGGCGATCGCAAAGTGCCAAAACTCCTAAGTATTAGTGAACCAAGTGCAGGGCTCCTACAAAAGCAAGGATACAGGATGGACTATGGTGTGATATGGGTAGACTTACAACTGAGGGGAACTAACCACTACCCCAGGTAAGCAGCAAAGTTCAAAAGCAATGCAAGTAGCCAAACACAACAGTCAGGATGTGGTCACCTGAAGAACGACGAATGCATGTATTGAGGTCAGGTAAAATGAAACACTAGCCAGATGATGCCATTGGAAGTGAAATCATCCAGGAAGCAACGATGACAATGATGAAGCCTATAATGGGATATGGTATATAATGAAATGAAGCAACAACAATTCAAAATACTTATGGTAAACATGTTAGTGGTTTGCTGGAGAGAGATATGTCCACACAGAAGGAAAGACAGCATGCACAGCATGCACAAAGAAGTATTGAGGATAGAGTCTGCGCAGGTAAAGTAAGAAGGTTATCAGTGCAAATATCAAAAGTACTGACTGAAAATATATCAAGTAAAAAATAAACTTTGGATTTTGAAATTGAACTGTTTAAGTTAAATGTTAAATAATTTGAAATATAAATTTGGAATCAAAGTCAAATAATTACCAGCTACAATTAATATTAACCTGAAATTTTTATCAGTGGTGAAATTTTGAATATAATGAACTCCAATTAAATTTTCGGAATAAATAAACACAAATAGAAATATACAATGTGCATCACAAATAATGTCTTGATATTCAGGCTCAAAAGTCAACTGTATAAGTCCTGATTTTGTGAAGCCCAAAAATCACAAGTTAAAAGGTCTTTACACTTCACAAAACAGTATGATGAATGAACTATTCATCCACGAAGGTGTACAAGATGTCCTTGGAAACTGCATGAACTCTGGAAATGAATTGCCATCTGATGACTGATGAACTGCCTCTTCTCAGTGTGCAAGTGATGATGCTGATGAAACTAGCAGCCCCACGTTGGGCGCCATTTTGTGGCCGGGCGTGGTGTGATGTGTCCAGCCACTGGGCTGCTAGTTATAACATGAGGCACTTGTTGGATGATGATGATGTTTATTCATGTTATCAGATGATGGGAGGGAAGCTTGAAAGAAGAGTCCTCCCTCTCTAAAGAGTACATGCAGAAAATATAATTTAATTTAAGCCAAAAGGAAAAACACTATAATTTATAAGGGTAAGTGGGGTAGCACATGGTTGAAGCACATGTTTCAGGAGTATTGGGTCAGGTAATAGCTCTGCCAAGAAGTGACAGAAACTTCTCAAATCGTCTTTGTCTCACACTGACCACGTCGGTTGTATATACACCTTCAGTAGATCGTTTTCCAATATCACTTACACCTTTGGCGCGCAAAATCAAATCCGACTTCATCCTTGAAACGTATTCGTATTGTGCCTTCCCATTTATATGCTCTTCTCTTGGCACCATTTTAAACCGAAAACATCGCTGGAGGTTGCCTTGATAAAGGGAGATAATACACAAAAGGGGAGATAAGAACTTATAGGACTATTCAGAGCTCTTTCTGAATCGCTTGTTTGTTGAAATATTCACTCAGAAATATTCCAGCTAAATGACGGCTGTCCGACAATCCAGTGATCGATATTTTGATCCACGCTATTGGGATACAATGCCACACAATCAAGTCCTGTAGCCTGACCACATGATCAGTTTGTTCGCCTCTTACAACCAACACAGATAACTTTTTTGGAGCTATTCTAACAAGGATCCTCACAGATCATCATACCCAATGGTGTGGACTGTTGCTCAGATCATCATACCCAATGGTGTGGACTGTTGCTCAGAACATCAATCACTGGACTGACTGGTCCTGACTCGTTATTTACAGGCTGCCAAGTGTGGCATTAAGCCACCACACACACGCACGCACGCACACACAGAGTGCTTGAAATAGAAGCAACAAATGCCATATTCTAAGACTTTATTTTTCCCATTCTGTTTCCTTTTAGTATTTACAAAACTTCTCTCCTTGCCTCCGTATGTACACTGACAATATATACAGAGATACGCACTGTACACCACTGTACAACCAAAGTACAACCAATGTACACCACTGTACAACCAATGTACAACCAATGTACAACCAATGTACAACCAAAGTACAACCAATGTACAACCAAAGTACAACACACTAATGATGACCCACACAGGTACAAATGTTCCACATGATATACAATGTAGATAATCTGGCTAGTAACAAAACAAGTATGCAACATGTACAATGACCACTACTCATCCCCCAAACAGGGCATCTCATCACTAACCTCATTCCCCCAACTGGGGCATCTCATTATCACTACCCTCATCCCCTTCAATGGGACATCTCATTATCAATAGCCTCATCCCCTTAAATGGGACATCTCATTATCAATAGCCTCATCCCCCACTGGGGCATCTCATTATCACTACCCTCATCCCCCCACTGGGGCATCTCATTATCACTACCCTCATCCCCCCACTGGGGCATCTCATTATCACTACCCTCATCCCCCAGTGGGGCATCTCGTTATCACTACCCCCTCCTCACCATGTTCAGACAGCTTGGGGCTGTATAAGGACTGTGTAAGGACTGCGTAAGGGCTGCATAAGGGCTGCATAAGGACTGTATAAGGACTGTGTAAGGGCTGTATAAGGGCTGCATAAGGACTGTGTAAGGACTGCATAAGGACTGTGTAAGGGCTGTATAAGGACTATGTAAGGACTGCATAAGGACTGCGTAAGGGCTGTATAAGGACTGTGTAAGGACTGCATAAGGACTATGTAAGGGCTGTATAAGGACTATGTAAGGACTGCATAAGGACTGTGTAAGGGCTGTATATGGACTGTGTAAGGGCTGTATAAGGACTATGTAAGGACTGCATAAGGACTGTGTAAGGGCTGTATAAGGACTGTGTAAGGACTGCATAAGGACTGCGTAAGGGCTGCATAAGGACTGTATAAGGACTGTGTAAGGACTGTGTAAGGGCTGTATAAGGACTGTATAAGGACTGTGTAAGGGCTGTATAAGGACTGTGTAAGGACTGTGTAAGGACTGTGTAAGGGCTGTATAAGGACTGTATAAGGACTGTGTAAGGGCTGTATAAGGACTGTGTAAGGACTGTGTAAGGACTGTGTAAGGGCTGCGTAAGGACTGTGTAAGGACTGTATAAGGACTGTGTAAGGGCTGTATAAGGACTGTGTAAGGACTGTGTAAGGACTATGTAAGGACTGTGTAAGGACTGCATAAGGACTGTGTAAGGACTATGTAAGGGCTGTATAAGGATTGTGTAAGGACTGTGTAAGGGCTGTATAAGGACTGCATAAGGACTGTGTAAGGACTGCGTAAGGACTGCATAAGGACTGTATAAGGACTGTATAAGGACTGTGTAAGGACTGTGTAAGGGCTGTATAAGTCATTTTATTACCAGCAACAGAAATTAACCTGGGCTATTAACAATGATAACTACTCAGGCTGTTGTTATCTCATGCTATCAAATGATTGCATAAAACTGAACTAACTAGTCCACACAAACAGGTCCATAGCAACAATCTTGTCAGTGAGGGCCATCTAAAACATGGACAACTTTACACAAAAAGATCAAAATTAAATATTATATATACATGATAGTGTGTCTCAAGTATGCCTCGATATTGAGTGATGTAACAACGGCCCAAACTAATTTTCCTGACTCGGAAGAAATGTAGTAATATTTGCTGGTGACACCTAACGCTGGGACCTGGTAGTTTCACTGTCTGACAGTGTTACAGAGGAGGCTGGAAGACTGCTGACCTCCATCAATGGGCCATAATGTACTAGGGAGCATCCTGGCTTCAAGGCCTGACACAGTGACACAGTCGGAGGAAAGTTAACTGATTACAAAGCAAATTTTTCTCAGCAGGCAGCAGGCTTCTGCACCACTTTGTTCCAGTATTATTACAAGGACAACTGACGAATAATAATAATAATAATAATAATAAAACCAAAAAACAACAACAAATAACAAATTTATATCGTGCCTAACATCTATCAGTTATGAATTTAGGGCATAGTTGTTGGGGAAAAGCGAAATATGTATATAAAAAAATGTTCTAATAAAATGACGAGAATGAAGAATATTTTGAACGTGTCCCTAAGTACCAGATGTTATATTCCAAATAAACTGAATCCTTTATAGATCATTTAATCAAACTATCAACCAAGAAGCTGAGGGAAGACTTCCACAGTTCAGTGGATGACTTTGTTACCAGTGTCTGTTGTAAGACATTGTTTCAGAGTGAATCTGAAAATCTTGAGGTACTATGAGCCTGGTGTCCATTTCCTGTTGTATTGCTGACCTTGTAATTGTACCATGTTTGAAACTGAGACACTGTGTTATGGGGGTAATCTTACACTTACCGCTAGGAGAGATAGCAGACAAACAACGAAGTGTTTGCACGACTTGAGTCAAACATGCTACGACTGCCAATTGGCCAGGATGTAGTCTCCTATTAATATTCTCAAAATCCCCAAAGAAGCAAGAAAAAACGAACTTGTGTCTGATCATGAACCCACATAGCAGAGCTGTACAGGACGCCACACAACAAGAAACATGTGACAATGTTGTCAGTCTGCAACAATACTGCCACAGTCTCATCCCGCGCCTGTCGATGCCACACTTTCATCCTGCCGTTACCTTGGATACCAAGTAATAGGCAAGGAAGAAAAGTGACACGATGCCAATGATGATGTAGCACATGACTTTCCTGTTGCCCTTGCCGGAGTTCACCATGTTGGAGATGCGGGTCACGCTGCCGGACAACAGGCCCTGCGTGCTGCCAAAGTCGTCGTGCTGCCCAAAGGGAAGGAAGGAGATTGTTATAGAATCCGTACAATAATTGGCTAAAATGTCAGTTAAACAGATGTTAATATAGGGAATCACCTGGGAGGACTGATTTGTGAGGAATGAATTAATCAGAGATTTGCTGGAGACCTAGGAAGTAGGATATTTTCATGATCCTTTTTTTCTAATACATGTTCATATCATTACAAAGTTTGGTAAGATGGTACATTGTGCATAATAATAAGTCATAGCCTAGAATTTCAACTCATATGAAAACCCAACAGGGGACTGGTCATGGGTGTCCAAGGCTGGCGACATCAGCAGAGGAAGCCGTGTAAAGGAGATTCAGCCAACATTTGATCTTACCATTCCATCAATGTATCGGTTGGAGTCGCGAGATTCTGTCTCCAGATCAAGAGCAATCTGAAACATGATGACACATTATGATCCGGTCATGGTAATATCTGACACACCCGTGAAGATCCGGGGTAGAATGGGTCTTCAGCAACCCACTCTTGCCGTAAAATGAGTCCATGCATGTCGTAAGAGGCAACTAATGGGATCAGGTGATCAGGCTCGCTGACTTGGTTGATGCATGTCCTCATATCACAATTGCGTGGAACGATGCTCATGGTATCAATCACTGGATTGTCTGGTCCTGACTTGATTATTTACAGTCCGCCGTCATATAGCTGGAATATTGCTGAGTGCGGCGTTAAAGTTACTTAAACTGAAAACAAAACAATATCTGACACCGCATCATCTGGTCACCAGCCACAAGACATTCAGGGGAGACAATCACCAACATCACCAATCTGCATCAGAACATATCAGAAAAGTGCCTGGTATTCATCAAAGAGATATTATTAACATGTTCTCCAGGTTCAAATGCTAATCAGACTTTCCACTCTAGATTTTACAATCAAGCTTAAGTTAACATCACCATGTTTTGTTTGTTTGTTTGTTGTTTAACTCCACACACAGCAATTCCAGCGATATGATGGCGGCCTGTAAATAATCGACTCTGGACCAGACAATCTCGTGATTAACATCATGACCACGGATTTATGCAATTGTGATACAATGACATGCATCAAGTAAGTCCACGAACCAGACTACCTGATCCTGTTAGTTGTCACTTATGACAAGCATAGTCACTTATTACGTCAAGCATGGGTTGCTGAAGACCTATTCTACCCCGGATCTTACATCATTATGATCATGATGATGATAAGTATACACTCAAGCTTACCATACATACCTGGTGACGGTGTTGAAACTGGGGTCAAGGAGATTTTCTGCTACAATATTTGCATCTAGGGGATCCCTAACTGAATAACTTTTACCATTGTATGACAAGGACTCCTTGAAGATCATGGGTAATTTCTACCCCCTCGACAACAAATAGCATGCCTCAAACATGGGATGTGATCTGCATGAATCAAGCAGGGACTTGTAACACCATCAGGTATTTAGTTGGCATTCTCAGACATGTCAGTCCAACTGCAGTCTTTGGAAAATGTTCATAAAATGTCCCGAATTTGAACCAAACATTCACAATTTATGTCTGATGTCAACAATTCATAAAACCAGTACATTACTCCAAGTATTATTCCTTAGAAAATCAAAATGGTTGTCATGTCAGCAAGCCGGGTATATGATGAAATCAGTGAACTTGTATTTCACTGCCTTTACTAACAATAACAGCACAAAAAAATAAATAAAAGCTTTCATACTTATTTTCAAATAATTGTATTGAATTATTAGGAAATTTTAAGCTACAAAGTCCCAAATTATATAAGATTCTCTTTAGCATCCCCAGATACATCTCTGAGACTGAAACAAAGAGCTCTGTGTGCATCCGTTGACAGACAACTGTGTGAACCCTGCACCATCAGATGACTTTTGTACCAGGTGGTTCATGTCAAGGCCACACTTATATTATTGTATAGTTTACAAATTGTTGCCAACCTATCAGTTTGGGTTGGAACTGTGAAGATCCAGGGTAGAATATGTCTTCAGCAACCCATGCTTGCCGTAAAAGGCGACTAAAGGGATCAGGTGGTCAGGCTTGCTGACTTGGTTGATACATGTCATCGTAGCCCAATCGTTTAGATTAATGCCTACGATGTCAATCACTGGATTGTCTGGTCCTGACACAATTATTTACAAACTGCTGTCATATAGCTGGAATATTGCTGAGTGCGGCGTTAACCGACCAACAAAGAAAACAAAAAATAAACCTGTAAAGCAGAATACTATTTTTATTTTATTCGCATGAACATGATGAAGTTGTTTGGTTCTTGGGCTGTCTGAGAACGGCAAGATCCACTCACCCCCTTCAACCTGGAGATCTTCCCTGCCAAGCCGTCCACTCTCTGCTGGTTCTCATGGTCAAGAATCTCCTCCGTCTTGCCTGAAACCACACAGAAAATACTGTCACAGACACTGAAAAATGATACACGATTTATTACGGTTGTAATGATTGATTAATAAATCACAACATCCTAGTCTTGGTAAAACACAGTACACACCTTACCATCACTGACCTACTATTTATACTCATTCATCAGTCTGCCACTATAGCCACAAGTCTGACGCCTGAGTCCAGTAAACTTTTGTTTGGTCTTGTAAAATCAGCTGATAAATGCCAGTAAAATCTTCTAAAAATGATGCTGAAAGCCAATGTTTGGCAAGAGGACTCAAAAGGTTTGGGCATAGACTTGTTCATGATTATGAATATAGACACAATCACATCATGTGGAAATGTCCATATTTCTATATTGTGAGAACCCCTGTCGTCAACAAGCAGAGTTGGCTGTGATCTGTCCATTTGACAACAAGAACCATGACTAAGCCACTGCCTGCCTCTAACATTAATAAGTAAATGGTGTCCAATCAACAGAAGTCTTAGAGAGTCTTATGTCGTTGTCAACCATATTTCTATGTAACAATTTATTGGAGAGAATAGGGTTTTACGCCGCTTTAAGCAATATTCCCTCAATATGACGGTGGACAATCTATTGGAAGCGTCATGCCATGTTATTAGGGACATGTATTGTTCAGTCCCTGCTCTTGTAACTGCCCTTTGTACCTGAGCATGGCCATCATCAGAAGAAGGGAATACCCCCCCCGCCCCCCCCTCATTGTTAAACTCCCTTTACTACTCTTGCACATCCTTATCTTTACACAAATAATGTCATCTGAAATAAATAATAACCTATGTAACAGATAAGGACTGGCACAGTACATGACATACACAAGTTTACTAAGCCCTTTCCCTAATAGATGAAAAGTTCGCGAAAATGACACAGCTTGTCTTGAAACATACGAAACCGCCACTGATGTTTTGCATATTTGTGGTTACTGACACCAAAAGACTATTTCTGGTTGTTTTTTAACACAACACATTCTGCAGCTCAACAATACTGCAACCAGTCATTGTCTGCCTGTATACTGTTGAGCCTGAATCAAATAAACCAGAGATTAATATTAGGAGCAAGCCCCACGCCATCTGGAGTACAATGGTATGCGATCAATCAAGTCACTGAGTCTGATAATTTATCCCATCAATCGCATCGATTGACAAGTATAGGTTAGAACCTGATTCAACCTGGAATTCCCATGCGTGACTTGGATACAGTTCCGCTCATGACCTCTTTTTCAAATTTTATCCCTTACTAGCCCTACCCTATGCCTTAAATATATATCCCCATGTAACATGATTTTCATCATCACCTCTTTTCGAGCCTCTAAACGATACGTAACTATGCGCTTTAAGACGTAATCAAGGTAGACACTTCAAAGCTCACGGAAGACATGAAAGTGTTTGCCACTTGTTGCTTAAGTTATGTTACGTATTAAGCTACACGAGGTAGGATATTCAAGAATTAATGAAAACATTCCTCAAAACTTACTATTTTCACTGATGCACATTTGAATGAAACTTGATCTGAAAATAATTTTGCATCAGAACAATTGTATGCACTGAGGCATTGTCATGGGGGTACGACGCCAGGACACCACTGACCAGTACCAGGCCCTGAAAATGCTTTCATGGAGGTCTTAAGTTATATCAATTATGTGATCATAGGATTGACATTTATGGCTAGAAAATGTAGCAACTGCTAAAGTTCCAGTATCAGCTGTTGTTTGTAAACTTCCTGTCTGTAATGCCATGGATTGATCATGTGCAACTATTTTTAACTTGACTGTCATGGAGGGGCTCGAATTCAGGTGACAGTAACAGTTGACAGTAACAGACGACAGCTATTGTCTCGTCGCGCTTGGCGAGATATTATCAAGATTAAATTGACAAAATGTAGTCATTTGAATATCCAATTGTAAACAGAAATAAATGTTCTCAAAGGTAAGACTTAGTTTGTTATCAGACATGAATTGAGAAAACACAGTACGCGAGGATATATTGTTCCACGTCATATTTAACTTATATTGTAAGTATAACATAATTATTTTTAATTCTTCTAGTCAGGGGTTATGTTTAATAAACATGTCGAGGAAGGGGTTACGGGGGAGGTTTTACAGGTTACTCTGCATGACACTGTCGATGAGGAGATTTTGAGAATGACACCAGTGTCTACTGTGACAGGCTGTCAACACGTCAAGCCCATTTCATCGTCACTCCGGTTGAAAAGAAAGAGGACTGTCTACAAGAAATCTCACGACCACATGCCCTTTATAGCTATTGATAGTTTAGTGCGGAGAAGTGATCAAAGTAAACAAAAATCATAAACAAACCGTTTCTGTTGCTTCTCCAATCTGCCATGTTGTCAACCAAGGGAGCATTCATTATATACCGGAAGTTAGCATACGGTTTCTCTAAAACTAGAGTTTTTGTTAACACGAAATAGGGGTTTAACGCTAGCCTATGTATACATATCTAAATATTCTTGAATCAAACACACAGCATACTCCCTTTGTAATAATTCCCGACAAAAGATATAAATTCAAGTTGATCGCGTCTCAATACTGAGAAAATTTGAACAATATTTAGGAAATGGTAATTCATTATGGTAAGGGGGAGTGGGGTGTTATAGTCATGGAAAAAAGTGACATGCATTTAGGGGTGAGGGATGGGGTGTGGGTCAATAAAACATGATACATAATAGATTACCAGTTCCTAGCCATAGGCCTACAACAGTGAGCAGCCTAGACATTTAGTCCCTGAAATAAAGATACCTTTTTATTAAAGAATATATATCTACAAAACAAAACAAATAAGATCCAAATGGGGCTCTGAACAATGTTTAATTTCAGCAGAGACCATATTTATGTCTCTGATTTCAGCATTAATTTAATGCCTAGAGCTGAGGCAATCTTGACTTGCCCAATAATTCTAGACTGGAGTAGGACTCCTTATTTTTATTTATTCTCTGGGGTCGGGGAGAAAGACTACGAGCAACCTTACACAGAGCGTATATTTGTAACATTAAAGGGGCACTAATCTCTGGCTTCTTCTCGGCTGTCTTTTACTGCCCGCAAAGGCTCACTAGCTGCCGTGAGTAGATTTGACCGCTAACGCAACTGAGCGTAACAAGAGACTGGTCTACCGTGTACAAGGACAGGGTAAATAGGTTAGGTTATTTGTTGTTTAACGCCGTACCCGCGAGTAGATTTGACCGCTAACGCAACTGAGCGTAACAAGAGACTGGTCTACCGTGTACAAGGACAGGGTAAATAGGTTAGGTTATTTGTTGTTTAACGCCGTACTCGCAATATTCCAGCTATATGACAGCGTTCTGTAAATAATCGACTCTGAGTTGGTTGGCTGGTTTGTTGTTTAACGCCGCACTCAGCAATATTCCAGCTATATGACGGCGATCTGTAAATAATCGAGTCAGGACCAGACAATCCAGTGATTAATATCATGAGCATCGATCCACGCAATTGGGATTGATGACATGCATCAACCAAGTCAGCGAGCCTGACCACCCGACCCCGTTAGTCGACAAGCATAGTCACTTTTTACGGCAAGCATGGGTTTTGAAGACCTTTTCTTTCCCATCTTCCCGAGGCAAGGGAGTTTACTGACTATAAAAGTCCAGTTCCCTTGCCGAACTAGGCGGGTATTATTGAGTTACATTTTGGCTGGACTAACGAGTCTATGCATAGTCCAATCAAAATCGCGCAACGAAATCGAAATCCGGTTCCTAAACTGTCGTGCAGATTTCGGTCGAGTGCATGATTTGCAAAGCAATTGCACCGACAACTCGTTGTCAACAGATATTTTCCAAACCTTTTCATGTTTTTAATCAAGGTGCTCGCGTGATTTGATGTACTTCGCGTTGTAAGACCCGTTTTATCACGATATAGATCTTGCTGATCGATCAGATCGTCTTGACTGGGCGCCGCCATTTTGTTTGAAACAAACGCAAGTGATGGAATCGGACCGGTCCACAGGAGAGGCTTAGAAGGGACATAACCGGTAATAGCCACTGGTGGCGCTACGATCGAGCCCAGGATTTCCAGCCAAGTTCGGCAAGGGTGGAAACTGGACTTTTAAAGTTAGTTAACTCTCTTGCCTCGGGAAGATGATTCTTCCCCGGAATCTTTCTATGGTCGAATCGACTCTAGGCCAGCGATTTCAGTGATTGACATCATGAGCATCGAACCACGCAATTGGGATACGATGACATGCATCAACCAAGTCAGCGAACCTTGAGGCAAAATCTATACGCATTTCTGAACACTGACTGGTTACCTGTGATCTATGAAGATTTCAATATTACAAAGAGAGCATGTTAATTAATTTCTTCAACCGAAAACAACACAGACAAAAAGAAAGCTGGACGTTCACCGGATGTCGTTATTTAGCAAAAACCCCAATTGTTACAGTTAAAAAAAAAGTATCCCTGCAGTGAAAGCATTTTCGGGTTTCGGATTGCGTGGATAGTACGATTATTTGTCGTAATTAATTTAATGCTCTTAATGAAGTTCTTACAGGTATAATTAGCGGTAGCATCACTCAGGATACCTGGCAAAGGTTCCCATTTGGCATTTCTTGTATCTGAGGTAATTATTGAATCTAAATTCAGGTTTGAAGTGGGGTGAAATGTATGTCATATGCACGTGACAGCGAAGCAAGAGAGGAATGATCAGGTGGTTTCAAAAACAAACAAACATCCATCAAATGATTAACCGAAAATACGTTCATTGATTAATCACTGTTATCTTGCACAGTGGATTTGTCAAAAGTAAGTGTATAAATGTGTATGTTTACTTAAGCAGACGGAATACACCCATATCTGGGCGTTAAGTGTAATGATGTATGATGTAAAAACATACTTTGAGACCGTCGTGGAGATTGCAGGAAGCATTCGTATAATATATACTACCTTCCACAAGCTGTGACGGCAGACGACAGATCCTGTCGGTGTTCACCGCGACTGTCGTGAATAGCTTCCTTCACACGGTCTTGTGGGATATTTGCCCATATATGGAAATTTGCCCATCGCTGAGGTGATTGGTACAGTCGTAGTGCTAAGGTTGCTTGGGAGAACGGCACCCAGGTCTTAGCGCTGACGTGATTGGTACAGTCGTAGTGCTAAGGTTGCTTGGGAGAACGGCACCCAGGTCTTAGCGCTGACGTGATTGGTACAGTCGTAGTGCTAAGGTTGCTTGGGAGAACGGCACCCAGGTCTTAGCGCTGACGTGATTGGTACAGTCGTAGTGCTAAGGTTGCTTGGGAGAACGGCACCCAGGTCTTAGCGCTGACGTGATTGGTACAGTCGTAGTGCTAAGGTTGCTTGGGAGAACGGCCTCCAGGTCTTAGCGCTGAGGTGATTGGTACAGTCGTGAGCTAAGGTTGCTTGGGAGAACGGCTTCCAGGTCTTAGCGCTGAGGTGATTGGTACAGTCGTGAGCTAAGGTTGCTTGGGAGAACGGCACACAGGTCTTAGCGCTGAGGTGATTGGTACAGTCGTGAGCTAAGGTTGCTTGGGAGAACGGCAACCAGGTCTTAGCGCTGAGGTGATTGGTACAGTACTCTCCTACTTACACACCACATACAGTCGGTGAGCTAAGGTCGCGTGGTAGAAGGTCGTGACGTTGAGTGTGACGTGGAGCTGAGGTCGCGTGGTAGAAGGTCGTGACGTTGAGTGTGACGTGGAGCTGAGGTCGCGTGGTAGAAGGTCGTGACGTTGTTTGTGACTTGGAGCTGAGGTCGCTTGGTAGAAGGTCGTGACGTTGAGTGTAACGTGGAGCTGAGGTCGCGTGGTAGAAGGTCGTGACGTTGTTTGTGACTTGGAGCTGAGGTCGCTTGGTAGAACGTCGTGACGTTGTGTGTGACGTGGAGCTGAGGTCGCGTGGTAGAACGTCGTGACTCTGTTTGTGACGTGGAGCTGAGGTCGCGTGGTAGAACGTCGTGACGTTGTGTGTGACGTGGAGCTGAGGTCGCGTGGTAGAAGGTCGTGACGTTGAGTGTGACGTGAAACTAACAAAGAAGCAATAAATCAAATCTCAGGAGATAACCACAGCTCCTTTGAAATGATTAAAAAACTATTTAACTGAACATCATTTTTCGATCAATATGCAAATCCAAAGCCTTAATAACTGTTTTGTGAGTGGCCAGTCAGTAAGGCGGGGAGTATTGACTGCAGGCTAGATCGGATCTCCTGTTACATCTCAGTGCATCGTGACGACAGCAAGTCGGCGACTAGAAACCGTCCGTGCCTGATGAAAAATACCATCACACAAAAGTAAGACGATTCAACAAAAATAACCTCCGATATCTCAATACCTTATCTGCATGGTATTCAAAGATCTCAGGATAGCTTTGAAAATCTTGAAACGCCAACCGCTTAGATTCCACGTGAGACAGATGAAAAGTCAGGCTTCCCATTCATTACTTGCAGTAATGACAACCATGCTATGTTGTCATTAGGTGGTGACATTGGAGCACGATGCACAACTATTGTCTAAGATTGTTTGGGTAACTACATTGCCCATAATGAGTGGATGAGTGAGAGTGTGTTGGTGGCTGGGTGTATGTGTGAGTGAGTGAGTGGGTGTATTGGTGTATGGGTGTATGGGTGTATGGGTGGAAGAGTGTATGTGTGTATGGGTGTATGGGTGTATGGGTGGAAGAGTGTATGTGTGTATGTGTGTATGTGTGTATGGGTTTATGGGTGTATGTGCGAGTGAGTGAGTGGGTGTATTGGTGTATGGGTGTATGGGTGTATGTGCGAGTGAGTGAGTGGGTGTATTGGTGTATGGGTGTATGGGTGTATGGGTATATGGGTGTATGTGTGAGTGAGTGAGTGGATGTATGGGTGTATGGGTGTATGGGTGTATGGGTGTATGAGTGTATGGGTGTATAGGTGTATGGGTGTATGTGTGAGTGAGTGAGTGGGTCTATTGGTGTATGGGTGTATGTGTGAGTGAGTGAGTGGGTGTATTGGTGTATGTGTGAGTGAGTGAGTGGATGTATGGGTGTATTGGTGTATGGGTGTATGGGTGGATGAGTGTATGGGTGTATGGGTGTATGTGTGAGTGAGTGAGTGGGTGTATGGGTGGATGAGTGTATGGGTGTATGTGTGAGTGAGTGAGTGGGTCTATTGGTGTATGGGTGTATGTGTGAGTGAGTGAGTGGGTGTATTGGTGTATGTGTGAGTGAGTGAGTGGGTGTATGGGTGTATGGGTGGATGAGTGTATGGGTGTATGTGTGAGTGAGTGAGTGGGTCTATTGGTGTATGGGTGTATGTGTGAGTGAGTGAGTGGGTGTATTGGTGTATGTGTGAGTGAGTGAGTGGGTGTATAGGTGTATGGGTGTATGTGTGAGTGAGTGAGTGGGTGTATTGGTGTATGGGTGTAT